TTGATTGTTGATGGGGAAGTCAAACTTTTCAGAAGTGGATTTGATGGCAGCCCGGTCACTGTCTAAAGCAACGTGGATCGGCAAAAGAATGGCAGGCAAGGTCAGAACAAACTTTGCAGACAGGCAGCCGATATCCGGGTCTACTACATGATTTGCCCAACACCCTGCTGGCAAAGCCAAGGCTTGACTCCCATAGATAGGACCTCCATAAGTCCTGTACCTTTACAAGACCCGTAAGTGCATCAAGAGTTCTCTTGAACGGATCGCATGTGCGTTCTGTCGAGAACATGCGCAGAAGAACGAGACAGTGCCCATTTGCAGTGGCCGATTCGGATTCGAAACCAAGATCCTGAAGACAAGCCGTTGAAAGGACCGTGGTGTTCAAAGGTGGGTGCGATCAATTCCAGTCATCTCACTCCCTTGCAATCTGATCCTATCACAAGACAGGCCGCGAGGGCCAGCAGCCCCTGTGTGCACGCCTGTCATCTCTCGTCAGGACAACTTTCAAACAGCAACCAGCGTGTCCCAGTGGAAGGAGCTGATATCGAGTGCTGTGGTGTTGGCTGCTCGACCCAGGCCGCAGATGCGACTGCCCGCGGGTAGATCAGGGGAGGGCCCGAGCGCAAGGTGCGCAAAGACGGGAGCCAACACGCGGCCGGGACCGATCGAAGTAAAGGCAAGGTCGGCATCTTGAAGTCGGCCAAGCCCCAATGTGCCAGCAGCCAGGAATGCTGAACCCGTGTCGAGACACGGTGTCAGAGGTGGAAATTCAGCCCTCGCCCAAGCCTCGAGGCCGGCTGCCGTCATGAGCGCGTAGTTGATCACGCCGGGACTAGCCTCGGCCTCTTGCGCGCAGGTGGCCGGAACCGCCTGCTTGTTGCGCGCTTCAGCGTTGAAGCAAAAGCCATCTTGAATGGTTACCAATACGGCACTTGTTTCCTCAGACCAGGCGCCTGATACGCGCACTTGCGTGCCTGCGTTACAGCATGCACCGAGACAAAAAGAAGGCGGGAGGGGGGAGGGACATGATCAATTCAAAAGGCCAGGAGCCAGACGTGACCGCGAAAAGGGGAGATACATACCGGGGCCAATCGTGCCAGAGCCTACGACCTGCGAATGGTTGCCAATAAGAGTGCAGGCCACGGTGCTGGCACCAGTATTACCACACAGCAGCCCAGAGCCAAGCTGGGTGGTCGAGGGGTCAACAGCAAACGCCCCAGCCGGCTTGGTCACAGTCACCGGCAGTGGCACGGTATAGGCTAAGGTCAAGGGCTGCCCCAACAAAACGTGCACGTGCACTGAAGCCACGGCATTTGCACCTGCGCTCAGCGCCTGACAGGATGCCGTAAACGCCACGTGGCCATTTGAACTTTCGGCCAACGCCACATGGCAGTCCTGATCTCCTCCAAAAGCAAAGGGTGCGTCCACCTGCACGGTCGAGTTGGCAGGGTGAACCTCGACGCCGTGGGTCCCATTATTGAGCAAAATGGTACCTGAGACCGGGCTGCAGGCCAAAGAGACCAGCGGACCAAACGCCGAGGGCAAGGAAAGTTCAAACGAGGTGTTGGAAGCGTTGGCCACCAGGCGCCACGCGCCGCTAGTCAGTTGCACGACCGACCATGCGCCACAGGTGCCAGCACTGGCCACATCCGCCTCGATTGAGTTGACCCGGGCGTCAAAGGCCGTGCTCAGCCGCGATGGACCCGCCGCGTAACTCGCATAATGTGCAATTTGAAGAGGATCAATGTTGATGGCAAATCGAAAGCCGGTGGTGCTTAGCGAACCCTACGTCAGTGCGGACCAGTGTGAGCACACGCAGCCTGGATCAGCGGCTTCAGATTGCGGCGCTGTCTAGGTTGGTCCAATGTTTTGGCAGCAAAGCGGCGGGGCGGCGTACGTTGGCATAGGTCGTAATGGTCTCCGCAATGTCAGGCTCATCGGAAGGCTCCCAGAACAAAAAGGGTTGGCCGTTGCCGAGAAATTTGCCATAGTCAATGGCCTACGCTCGCACATTTTTGCGGGTTGCGAGGAAGGGAAAGCATTTGGGCATGAGCATCATCACACGTCAGCGACGCCATCCCTGATCGAGCTCGTGTGTGTGTGTGTGTATGCTCGAGCGCATACGATGGCTCTGATCGTGCTCACGCACCTGCATGGCCTGGAGTTTGGCAGCTACTGGGTGACTGGCAGGCATGTTATTAATCTGATAAGTTTCGTCTCCGTTGGTCCTGTTGTTATCCAAAGCCCCCTGGGCTGGGTTTTGGCCCACAATGTAGGTGGCGTTCCAGGGTGACCAGCGGTTGATGAGGCAAGGGCCGCTGGCGGGTACAGCCACGCCATCCAAGACGAAGGTGACGTTGGGCAGGTCCAAGGCTATTGCAAGGGGAAAGTGGGTGAAGGCACGTGTGGAGCATGAGCAGCGAGAAGAGACGGCCTGGCGTGTGATGCTTCAGGCAGAATGGTGGAGGCGGCGGCAGTGCTGATGGCGGTGGAGCGAGCAAGCGATTGGCACCTGCAATGCGATCGAAAAGTTGATCGACCGTGTACCGCCAATCGCTGGCATCTTGCGCATCGCTACAGATGTCGCTGCCCGAATCAAACTTGAAGCACAGCGCCACATGCAATTGGCGCTGCGCAGCGTAGGTGCGCCAGCTGACAACAGAACAAAAAAAAAAAAAAACAAAAAAAAAAACAGTTCAGTCAAAAGGCAGATGAAGGTCAACGTCCACAATGTGCCTGGCTCATCGTTGGTTGAGGGCTTGGTGGCCTCATGGGTGAAGATACGACAGTCATAACGCACCGCGTCGAGTTGAGCAGAGCCAGCAGCTGGTCGGTCGTGTTGTACTGGCGAAGCGCGACGGGGCGGTCGTGGTTGAGCACAAGACACCCGCGTGATGGATCGGCAATGGCGGATTGCGACGTGCAAAAGTCACTCGTCATGTAGTGCGGATCAAACTTGAACCATGTGGCGCGCTTCCATCGCAGCTATGGAGATGACAGCGCATCATAGGTGAGTACCCAGCGGCTGTTCCCAGCGGTCGTTCCCAGCGGCTGTTCGTCTGCTCACGTGCCGCACCTGCGGCAACAAGCCCAAGTCGTTGAAGCTGTGAATCTGAAAGCTAATATCAGCCTGATCATCCCCACCCGTCAACTCGACCCCCTGTCCCCCCACCACAAGCGAGCAGCTCAAGCCCAAAAGACCGCACACCAGCAGCACTAGCAGCCGCAGTGCCGCTGCACCCTGCCGTGTTCCCATCATCTCTGGAGTTGAGAAAACGATGTCGCAATCGCGCCAGAGAGAGACAGAGAGAGAGACAGAGAGAGAGACAGAGAGAGAAGGGGTGTGTGTTGCTACATGTAACAGATGAGAGATAGCATGTTGTACGATACGGATGTTTTGATACTTTCAAGAGGTTTCATGAGGTTGGAAGAGAGTGTTCATGATCCCGCAAGCAATGAGAGAGTGAAAGCAAATGACGCGATAATCGAGAGAGAGAGAGAGAGAGAGAGAGAGGAGAGGGATTCATTTTTCCGAGTTTTCTCATTTTTCTCGTTTCAAGGTCAGTGACTTCATCACTGGGCTGGATCTCTCTCGTTCATGGCGGGCTTGGTTGATCGTGAGGGGTGGCAGGGGTACACAGGGTGGAGCTGAGGTGCGAGCAGGATACCGCTGTGGACTGTGCGTTAGCTCATTGACATCTCTGTTTGGTGACGCAGCAAAAGATCCGACATTAATGGCGACGCGTCTGCTCCGTACTGGCACACTGCTTGCTCGAAGCACTGCATCTGGCTCCCTTGGGGCCCTGCGAGCTGTAGTTTTCTCCAATCGATCAATCAGCACAAAGAATTTGGTCACTGGAGCATCTGGCCCATTGGTCATTGGACAGCGCACCATGGCGAGCACGGTACGCGATTGCTGTCGCACGAATGGCTCCAAAGCCCAAACGCCCTGGCACCTGAACCTGCGACCTCTCTTTCTTTCTTTTTTTTTTTTTAACTCGCTCTCAGGCATCCACCAACCCGGATCCAAAGGAGGCCAAGTCCATCTTTGAGTTTGGTGCGGTTTGCTTTGGTCTGCGTACCTTGCTCCCATGATTGCCTGTTCTCATGCAACCACACCACACCTCATGGTGATCAATGTTGGTTGTAGCGGCGGAGGATATCAATGGCAAGCCTTTTTCATTTCAAACGCTCGAGGGCAAGGTTGGGTTGCGTTGCCTGTGGTTCAACGCTTGATTGGCTCATGCATACACGTGCGATTTGTCGCTTTGGCTGACTCTACATCATCGCACCCATCTGCCTACAGGTGGTGATGATTGTAAACACAGCCGGTCAATGTGGGTTGGCCCAACGAAATTTTACGGAAATGGTGGAGCTGCACGACAAGTACAAGGACCAGGGCTTTGAAATTGTTGCCTTTCCCTCCAACTCCTTTAATCAGGTCGGTGGCCCACCCGGAGGTAGATGACTCGAGCACAGGCCGAGTGTTTGTGTGCCACCTGTTGCATCCAACTCGGGTCACCAATCGGCGTTGCATGTGGATAGGAAAAAAATGACGGTGACGCCATCGTGGACCACGCCAAGGGGTATGGCGTCAAGTTTCCCATCATGTCCAAGGCAAGCCAGCACCATTGTTACCTTTGAACTCTGAATGTGGGCTGGCATCTAACCGATTTTGTCTTTGCTGCCTGGTCAACACTTGCAGATTGCTGTCAACGGCTCGGACACGCATCCCCTTTACACGTATCTCAAGGGTGCTTCGCCGGGCTGGTTGACCAATAGCCTGAAATGGTGTGCTCATCTTACTCCGCTCGTCAAAAGAACGTGCTGGGTATCGCATCGCGATGGCTCATCTCGTGCTTGCCGTCGGATGTGTGCAGGAATTTCACAAAGTTTTTGTGTGATCGCACTGGCGTGCCGCGCAAACGATTCGGGCCACAGGAGGCCCCCTCCACCATGGCGACAGACATTGAGTAGGCCATGACCGACACACCGAGCACGAGAGTCCGAGGGAGAGAGAGGGAGAGGGAGAGAGACAGGGAGACAGAGAAACAGAGAGGGCGAGGGTGTGTTCGTGTGTGAGTTTGGCAAACATGTGCGTGCATGCGCGCAAATCACCGTCCAGTCCTCACATTCACCCTTCTGTCTCTCAGATCCTTGTTGGCGGAAAAGCCTGGAGCCAAGCTGTAGGTCAGCTAGCTGAGGGTGGCATGAGCGAAAACTGACGTCCCGCTTTGTTTAAATCATTTGTGTGCGCTCGCCTCCTTGTTGTTGAAATTGCAAACAAAACATTATTGATGAATTTATGCGGCCACCAAAAGAAACCGTGACGAGCACACTCAACAGACCATGCACAGCGCCTTGCTGACAACAACAGGCGACAAGACAACAGGCGACAAGAAGAGGCTCAGACTCAACATGCGACTATAGCTGGGTAGACAACAACAACAACAACAACAACAACAACAACAACAACAACAACAACAACAACAACAACAACAACAACAACAACGACAAGGGAAAAACGGCATCCGACAGGGCAAAACAGACAGGCACTTGGACACTTGGGGCACACGAGCTCTGGTACAAAGAGCAATTTGAAGAGAGGAAGGAGCACGGATGCCCCAGCACGTGCATTAATTATCGCGAACAAGACGAATGGGGGTTTCCGGACCACCGCTGAGATCGATTTCGCCTCGGAGCCGACGCGCAAGCTTCATGTCCTTGGGCATGATGGTGACGCGTTTGGAGTGTATGGCGCAGAGGTTGCTGTCCTCGAAAAGGCCCACCAGATAAGATTCCGAGGCCTCTTGCAACGCTTGGAGTGCATCGGGTCGAAAGCGCACGCCGGTGTCATACTTCTGAGCCACCTCCCGAACCAATCGCTGAACAAGTCCATGCAGAGCAAGCAGCGAGATGTGAGACCCAGAATCAAAGCTACAGCGTGCCTGTGCAGATGACGACAAGAAGCGAGGGCGGTTCTCGCAAGTAGGGTCCCGACGTAAAAAAAAAGACCCAACCTGGAAGGGGAGCTTGCGTAGCAAGAGTTGCGTGGACTGCTGAAGGCGCCTGATTTGACGCAGTGCCACCGTGCCCGGCTTGAAGCGGCGTGGCCGTTTCACGCGACCCTGAATGGTCATGACATCATTTTGAGAGCGGGATGTCGGGGTCAAGTGCTTGCAACAACCATGGCAACAGGGGCAACTGGTGGAGACCGACAGAAAAGCAAAAAAAAAAAAAAAAAAAAAAAAAGAGAAAAAAAGAAAACTCACGTCGGCAACAGCCAGGCGCAGATGCTTGACGTGTCGCATGGCAGGCACCTGATGACCCCAGCCCGAAGTGTTTTTGACCCTGGCGCTGGCCACCTTGCTGCCAGCCTCCCGCCGTGCCGTCTGCTTGGTTCGCGCCTAGATTGAGTCCGCGTCAAGCACATGATCAACAGTCCATGCCGTCCGTCGTCAATCGAGCGTGCTGTACAACAAAGCGCAAAGCGTAGGGAAATGCATTGCATTCGCCACAACGTACCATGTCCTCTGATGCCCGGACGACAACGATCGACTGACGACGACTGACGCCAATTGACAACAATTGACCGACTGCCGCAAGCAGAGAGAGAAGAGAGAGAGAGGAGAGAGAGAGAGAGAAACGAAAATGAAAAGAGAGAGAGAGAGAGAGAGAGAGAGAGAGAATTGAATTGGTTAGAGAGAGAGAGACAGACAGACAGAGAGACACAGAAAGACACAGAGAGACAGAGAGACACAGAGAGAGACAGAGAGAGAGACACAGAGAGAGACAGAGAGAGAGTGAAAAAATGAAGACAGAAAGAGAGACAGAGACAGAGACAGAGACAGACAGACAGACAGACAGAAAAAAAACCAAAAATATTGGAGCAAATGCTGGATATCAATCAAAGGCACAATTAAAGAGATGTTCAAAAACTCTTCATTTTCTTCAATTTCTTCTGCATTAAACCTTTGAGACGATAAACATGTTTCAACAGGTTTTTACTACGTTTACTAGCATCCTTGGCGGGCCTGGACTCGCCCAGGTCAATCGCCACATGGCTGCCGGCTACTCTTTGAGACAATGTGCTTGGGACTTTTGATCTTGTGGCTTGCTTCACTTGAATGCTGGGATGACGTGGGTGGGTCGGCGATCGGCCCCCAACACCTGGGCAAAGAGCTTCTCACAGCGGGCGGGATCCGGGGCTTGGCCGACACCGGCGGCAATGCCGAGCTCAGGGGCATGTACGCCGCCAGTCACAAAGACACAGTCGAGCCCCGCCTTCAGAGCGCCCTCAATGTCATGATGCAGGGAATCGCCCACTGCGACGATCCGGGACTTGGGTACACCAGCCAGCTGTTCGAGGGTCTTGTCGTACACCAGCGCGTGCGGCTTGCCCACGTAGTGCACCTGGCCACCCAACGCCTCATACATGGCGGCTACCGTGCCTGGGCACAAACCCTGGGAGCCGTCTGGGCGCACCACCACCTTGTCCGGGTTGGCACACACTATGGGTAGATTTCTCGCACGCGCAGCCTTGAGGTGCGGTTGCCAATGCGCCACCTCCTCGATCGGCGCCGGCTCACTGCCCGTCGACAGGACGTTGATGCCCTGGAGCAGAATAAAGTCAGCCTCGTCGATTGGCGCCTGGTCGTACTGGTCCAGATCTGCCAGGACGTCCGTCTCCACGTCCCAACCCATGAGCGTGTACTTGCTGCCGTAGGCAGCAAAGTCGGACCAGCGATTGCGCATGCCTTGTCGCACCATCTCACCACCCGTGACAATGGTTGCCACTTCGCCAAAGCCCCACTCAATCAGGCGGGCGTGCGCAAAGTGTGCTGGCTTGGAGGAGTTGCTCAAAATCGTCACCGTTTTCCCTGCTTGCCGCAGCCTTTGCACCACCTCCACTGCATGCGGGTACGGCGCCGAGCCATTGTGAATCTATATTCAAGCATCCATCAGGTGAACAAAGAAGATGAAGAAAGAAAAAATGTTTCTTGAGCCCCGGTACACGGGGCAGGCGACCACGGGATCGAGCCGGCGGCCCAAACGAAGAAACGCCCACCACCACCTACCACGCCGTACTGATCCAGAACAAAGACATCATAGCGATCCACCAGGTCCAAGATGGAGTTGAGAAACCCGACCGCTTGCGTCTCATCCGCCATGCCTTGTTGTACAAAAAATGCTTCACAACACCAACAACAGTGAGAGGGGAGCGAGCGAGGGAGGGAGGAGGAGGAGCTGGAGGGCAGGTGCGACGGTGAGTGCGCAAAAGAAAAATGCCAGCACACACCACACACACACACACATACACACACACACACCCCTGACTGCTGACTTGATACTTTTGCTGACAAATTGACTTAACCCTCTCTCCTCTGCACCCCCTAAGTTAGATGCCGCCATTGGCAAACCGTAAGCTACGGAGTCATGTCTTGGCCTTAGGGGTCCGTTGGTGACGCCGCATACCGGGGTCAAGAGCATGTCAATGGTTCGGTGCGTGTGCAAAGCTCGAGTCGACATGGCAAGCAAGTCCTAGGAGCCAGTCAAGTTGGCAGCGCAGAGCGCTGCGATTCCCTCTATTCCTGCAACCAAGTCCCGCAACGTCATGTGAGTCACCCACAGAACTCATCCTTCTGGCAACATCCTTCGCAGGGATTTGCCAAAACGTTGGCGACGACCACCTGTCCATGCGGTACTGGGAAGTTTGTTTTTTCTCTCATTTTATTGCTTTGCACTGACGTGAATGTCGCACAGGATGGCGGCTGCCAGCCCTGAAATTACACCAGAAATGGCAGCAGCTGCCGACGCTTCCCTGGCAGGGCTGAGCAAGGATGCCGTCTTTTTAATTCACAAGGTTCAGAAGGCGAGCCGCAAGCCAAGGCCCGATCCCTTGCTGCGTGCGGCCAAATCGTGCTATAACAGTGATTTTGAACCCAGCAAGGTACATGAGTTTATGGATGAGGTGCAGGCTTTTCTGGAAACGTCGACACTCGACGTCCATTTCCACGCGCGGCCCAGGGACCCGAGTGATTGGCAAACGTTGTGCGACGCCCTGGGCCCATGTCTACGTGTGCGCTCTTTTGGCGAGCTGGTGCGGGACACGCCCGACAGGCGCCTGAAGGAGCAGAGCCTGTGGCTCAGCACACGCAATGGCCAGGAACGACTGCGGGTGTGCTGCGACTTGCTGCCGGGCACCGTGGCCGTGGCCTCATTGGCCAAGGAGCATACCGCGCAATGCCTGCACAATTTCAAATTGCAAGCGCACGCTGCCATCTTTGCGCAGCGCTTCTACTTTGCTCACGGCCACGTCATTGATGCCGTGCGTTTGAGAGCGCGCAAGTACTACATCGTGGCACGGCTCAAGGCCGCCAACCTCACAAAGCTGGCCGCTCATGTGCAACCTGCTGCTTCCGGCATGGCCAAGGCGATTACTTTTGCGGATGGATCGCCCAAGGCGGAGATTGACTTGGACAACGCCCTGCCCGCGGCACTAAAGGCCATCCTGGAAGACCAAATGGCACAGCATGTCGCTCGGCAGTTGCAGCTTCGGCAGCCCCAGGCGCCCGGCGAGCGCGCGTTGCCCCCGCAGCACCTGCCTCAGAACGTCTTGCACGCTTACGGTCACGCCTCGCACCGATGCTTGAAGAAATCCGCAAGGTCAAGCCCGAGCATTGGATCGTCTACACAGGAAGCGAAACCACGTGCGAGCTGATTGACAAGGCAGTTTCAACCGAAAGCCAAGCGCAACAACGCGTCCTTGGCTTGACTGACTGCGATGCTTTGATCGTGTCCACGGCACTGGAGCCGCCCAGTGGTGGCGACGTTGCCCTCGTCGCAACCTCGCCAGATCGAAGGTTCAATATCCATCGTGGCATTATTAGATGAAGCTGGCAAGAAAGGGCCAGGAAAACATTCATAGCTTTTGGGCCATTTTTTTGATACAAGATGCGCGCCACGGTTGGTTCTCGGCATGCCGCTGGTGTGATCAATCAATGCCTATCATGTCGTGGCTGCACATCGATTATACTTTGTGACGCTAGAGGGCGACGCAGATCTTCATGACGCGTTGCGCTCAGGATAATGACCGCGTTGCCGGCTCGGTCTTTTGTTTTTTGGGTGCAGCGAAAGAAACCTTTTGACCATTAATGCCGCTGTGCATAGAGCCTTTGTTCTCCCAATTTCCCTCTTGTTACCTCATGAAAAAGCAGTTTGCAACCTTTTCTTCTTGTTCTGGTCTTCCCATGTTTTGCTTCCGTGAGTTTATAGTCCTTCGGATCACGTCCTCTCTCGTCATTTGTGCCGTCAATTGATCCCTCACCAATCCTTTCTATTTGTGCAAAAACCGCGCCTTCTTCTTCTTGTTCTTCTTCTTGTTCTTCTTCTTTTTTCCTCCCACTCAAAGAATGGGAACTGACATGTGAATTGATACAGATCTGCATTAAATTGAGACAAGGCGAGCCTGTGAGCATGGTTATGGGGTTCGCCGACGTCAGTTGGGATCCCGAGCATCCTTAGGCCGAGCTGTCATCTCGCTTGCGCAGGCTCAAGCGTCCCATCTTGCGGGTTGATGCCTCCTGCTCCTGTGCGCGCAATTGATGCACTGTACCGCAGGCATGAGACTCGGTCCAAGACGCGCCTTTTCGGCCAGACACATGGAAGAAAAACAGCGTGGCTCACAACCAAGGGCGAGAGAGATAGGTTTTGGCCTACATTGCGAGTAGACGGGGCAAGGGCCATAGGAGCCAGTCAAGTTGGCAGCGCTCAGCGCTGCGATCCCATCTGTTTCAGTCGTAGCAAATCAAGTGAGAACCATGTGTGACCACTCCTCGCAACACCGGTACCATGCCAACCGTTGAAAGCCCGACACAGCCTCACCGTTCAAGATGGAAACACGTTCAATGCCGGCCAGCGCCAGAGCTCGCGCCACCTGTAAAGCATTATCGCACACACCTCGAATGAGGGCACAGTCGCTTTGAATCCTACAACGATACCACGCAAAGCGCACGACTACAATGGCAGAAGAAGGGGCAGGCGGCAAAAAGCTCTCATCAAGGCTCACCGCTGCTGCACTGGCAAGCCACATTTCATCGCCAACTACAAAAACGTGCCGGGACTGGCACTTGCGCCGCATCAATTCGGCACAGTCCTCCGGAAGCTGCTCTCCCTCAAGTTCTGGACAGGGCCAGAACGGCAAATGAGCGACAATAATCACAAACAGATGGGCATCGAGCGTTTACGCGATAAAGGCTGAACGGACCCAGCGCGGGCATGTTGAACGTGTTGGCCTCCAGGCGGCACAGGGCAAAGCTGTCCGAGTCGCGAGCATCGATGGCGACTGCGTGGCAGTATTTGCGCGCCACAATCGTCTGCAACAGGTTAAAAAACAACCATGAATGCCGAAATCCCATAGCTTCAACCATGGGTGGGACCCTGGATTGAGAAACGGTCGGACTGGAAGTGCGTGCTTCACCAAAACTTACGCCATTCTTCATGTACAGAGCCAAAAAGTCCTGCACCGAGCTGACGGGGGCCGGCAGCATGCGCAATTGATCCAGCGGTTGCACCTCGTGCTCTACGGGCTATTGTTGATCCGCCAATTGAGGAAGCGCAACAATTATGGATAATTTAGTCACTTAAGTTTGAACCCAGGTGCACGCAACTTGATGCAAAGCCAGCGCGAGGTGCCTTACAAAATCGACAGCCGGATTGCTTGCGCGACGTGCAAAGCACGACTTGGGAATCTCCTCGTACAGCCGGCGAGCCGTTGAAATGGTCGAGAAGAAATCCTGTCCCAAAGTCCATCATATTAGCATTCTGAATCAGCGGTTTGCCTTTTGAAGTGCATAGCGGCCAATAACCTTTCGTACCACGTCGGGTGCATCACCGAAATGCAGAATACACTCGCTAAAATCATACTGCAGTAAAATGCGTCGCAGCTCCTGCATAATGGCCACGGCTATATCCATTCAGCAACATTGGTGGCGCATGAGCTTTTTACATGGCGAGAGACCGAGCTACGAGCCTCAAGTGCCCACACGCCATGCTCGTGCGCACGGACAGACCGATGCACAATGTCATGGCTGAATTGGCCAAGAAGAGTGAATCCCACAGGTGCATGATTTTATCCAGGGAGAACACATGAGCAAAACTGGTCAAAAACCTATCAGGCAAAAATACTGTCAGGCGGCTGCATTGCAGAGGGTTTCGATTGAAGGCAGGGCAGCCACGCTATTGGCGTGCATGCTCGTACCAGGGGATGGCAAAGAGGTCGGGTCGGAAGCCCATGGTGTCGAGGTGTGCCCACAGTTCGGGGTCGACGTAGCACAGCAAATGCCAAAATACGGCCAGAAACTCGTTCAGTGTCTATCCCGAGCCAACAACCAAGGTGAGCTGCACACTGACATGACTCGAGCAAACAGCATGCCTGTGCCAAGCCCGAGCGAGACGCACGTCGGTATTGTTCTTCAAGAAGAGCTTGGGCATGAAACGTTTCACAAAGCTATCCAAACATCCGAAAGCAAAAGCTATGCGAATTGATGCAGCGTCAAGCAAGAACAGCACGTAAGAAAAAAAAATTCAGAACCCTCTGGTGAGCCTGCAAGAAAGAAAGGTGTGGCTGATTGTTTGAATGACCGGCCTGTGTGTGCGGAAAAGGCAAAATAAAAGAGCACGTTGCGCCTCACCCTCATCGTTAAAGTTGAGCTTGAGAAAGGGTGCCGTGAGCGAGTCGATGCCTTGCCAGTACACCAAATCTGGGTTGGCATTGACCCAGGCTTTGAGCACACGCTTCAACTTGCGATGGCCTGCACGCGCACACGGTCAGACGCGAGGTGGCCGCAAAACGATCTGCCATGGGGTGGGCTGATGAGAGTCTGAACTAACCCTCTGGCGATGACAAAAGCTGATCGTACTGATGGCAACGGGGAATATCCACCTATTGGAAGAAGACATCCATATCAATGAGGTCAACGTTATGTCCACCAAACCTCTTTGAGGGCGCAGACGAGCAAGTAGCGCAGCAGCCTGTACAGCCATCGCGTACATCGAGTTGGTGGTCAATTTCGCGTTCGGAAGTCTTGTCGATTGCGGCGTACACTTCGTGGATGTTTTGTGGCACGTCCAGTAGCACGGCCCAGATCTGCGCTCGCAGTTGGGGTGGCACATCAACTTGCGCAGCTTCTAGAATGAGGTGCTGCGTGTAGGGGGCGCCTTGCAGCAAGCGTCGAAAGTAGTTGAGACGGTTGTATTGGTAAATAATATCTCGCTCTCGGATGCTCACAGGCTGCTTTCGCATCTCCTCGGCATGCCTACGACATGGTTGCGAAGGAAAAGGCACAAACACACATAGAGGGAGAACGAAAAGGTGACCAAATGATTCTGAGACTGGCTGATCGGGTGGCATCAAGGGGCAGGAGCGTGGCTGGCCAAAACACACTCGTTGTCAGCGGGCTCCTGAAAGACGAGTGGCAAAGGGTCAACCTCTTCCTCTTGCAAACGATGTGAAAGCTGGCAGAAATACAGCAGATGGTTTGCTTCGTGAGCAGGCACAGGTGCATGAACATCTCCGGGGCGACCCAAAGCAGGGCACGGACCGGCTTGAGATCAAGGGGGCAGACAACATGCTCAAAAGCTTGCGCCGCGGCCCGGCGACCCCCGATCTCGGGGCGACCCAGGCGAATCAAGCGAGGCAAGCGAAGAATTGTGGGTTCCACTTTGCATAGGCCCTTTTGCATGAGGTAATTCTCCAAGCTCATGCCCGTGACCCGCCACAGGTGATAAGCGTCGACGAGCGGCCTACGATACAGGAGAAAGAGGTGTCGATAAGCAACATTTGTAATTTACGTCGCCATCATGAGAATCCCAATGCATGACCTATTGTTCTGGCTACGCACCACGAGTATAGTGGGTCAGCACGGAGCTTGTCAAACGTGGTTTCTACCGCCTGTGCTCCGGCCGAAGCAGGTGTCTGAGGGGCGGCACGGAGCATGGGGTCTTGGCGTTGCATGTGCTCCCGTAAAGCGGCCAGTTTGCCATCTAGTTGGGCGCTCTGCAAATGGGGATTGACCACACTAGTGTACACCACCTGTTGGCTAGCCAACCATGGCATGCCCAACACCTCGACTACAGTCCCGGTTGTCCCCAATTTTGGTGAGCTGGAAATCTCTGAGCAAATCGCACTGGGAACGGCGCATACGATGTATACGATACTGTCAGATTTGGCGTACCCATGGTTGGCCGACCACCGGCCAAGGGATGCAAGCAGGCATACAGCGTGTTTTGGACGACCCCCGGAAGTTGTTGCCAAGCGGCAAAGTCGTCATGTCGCGGCAGAAGCTCATGCATGTAATCGGCCATCAGTGGAGGATCGGAGAGGGCAAGGTCGACAACGCCCACGCGTTGCTGGGCACGCAAGCTGCGTGCCCGTGGCGAAGACAGCAAGCCTGCCAAACGCTCCAAAAACGACTAGGCATACATCGAGACGATGAGTTTGTGACCGGAAAAAAAGGTTGCGCTGACATCCGATGGGAAGCACGTACGCCCATGTGGCGAACAGTATGTCGCTGGCCATCCACATCCAGCGTCTGACACGTATCAGGCCACAAGGAAGCACCCTGTGTCATCAAAGGTCGCAGCAGGCGGCGGCAGCAGCAGCCACGAAGGTCAATGAGCTGAGCCTTGCGCACTTTGGGCCCGGAACGACGCATGCCTACCAGCAATAGTTCAAGAACCACAAGTCCAAAACTCCAAACGTCATCTTTGGGATTTGCGACAATGGGTTCGCGGCAGCCTCGTGCCAAACAGGATGGTGCCAAATACGATGGTTCGCTAAAAAAAAAAAAAAAAAAAAAAAAAAAAAAAAAAAAAAAAAAAAAAAAAAAAAGAGGAAATTAGGATCGCTGGGCGCGCTTGGGAGCGAAGCAGACGTAAACGTACCCAATGGGAAACATGACGGCGGCACCGCTGTCGGTCATATCAAACAGGCCGTAGCCTGCGAGGCGTACATGATCGTCCGCTGTGATGTACACGTGCTCAAGCGTAAGGTTGCGCACGACAATGCCTTCTCCGTGAAGATAGTCGAGCGCTTGTGCGAGTTGGAGGGCATAGCGCGTGACTGCCGCCACACTGGGTAGCACGAGGAAAAGAAAGGTGAGAACCCACGGGAAGTCCGGTCATGTTGGAACACCAAAGTGCCTTGTCTGTGCTTGGGTCCTATCTCCACTCCCCAACTTGAATCTGGGCGCAAATCCCGTCGTACCGTTGGCGGGTCTCTAGCTGAACGAGCTCTTGCAGACGCCCCTGCAGCGTTTGCGTGTGGTGCTCGGCAACAATGTACACTCGGCCTGTCGAGTGCAGGCATGGGATTGATTAGGATTGGCACGGAGGAACAGTCGGACAAGCAGTCGCCATTAGTGTTGTCGTACCAGCAGAGCCCACTTCGACAGCAATGTACTGGGCCAGGTGTGGGTGTTTGAGCGCACGCAGCCGCTGCGTTTCACAGGCCCCAATGCATCACATCAAACATATGCAGCCACGGCATGGGTCAATAAAAGTACGGATGGGTCGCTCCTCTCAAGACCGGTCGGCAGGCCAACGCGATTCGCTGGTTGGCCCGAGACACCGTCAGGAGGGATCGCACGCACCTGAAAGCGACCAAAGATGCGGATCTCATTGGGCGTCAATGGCAGGCCGTTGAGACCACAGCGATCTGTGGGGTGCTGCAGTGCATGAAAGTAGCTGACCCCGATACCTGCACCACCCTCGCCATATCCCAACCGCCCTGCTTTTGCCCCTACCATTGCCATTGAGCTGGAGGATGCAGCGCCACTGCCCACCCCCGCAGCCGCCATCACCACAACTGTCCGCAAAAAAAAAAAAAAAAAAAAAAAAAAAAAAAACAGAAAAAAAAAATTGAGAGAGAGAAAGAGATTGAGAGAAAGAGAGATTGAGAGAGAGAGATTGAGAGTTTGAGAGTTTGAGAGTTTGAGAGTTTGAGAGAGAGAGTTTGAGAGAGAGAGAGAGTTTGAGAGAGTTTGAGAGAGAGAGTAGAGAGTTTGAGAGAGAGAGTTTGAGAGGTTTTTAGGACGAGAGAGAGAGTTTGAGAGAGAGAGTTTGAGAGAGAGAGAGAGAGAGAGAGAGAGAGAGAGAGAGAGAGAGAGACAGAGAGACAGAGAGAGACAGAGGGAGAGAGAGAGACAGAGAGAGAAAAAGAAGAACCTCCCCCCACACACACACACGGGGTACTCGTATTCGCAGAGGGGTGTCAACAAGTGCAATGTGTCCCCTTGTCAAGACCTTTGCACTGGATCTGGCGTGGCAGGCGAGTGCTTTCGGGGGCACCGAGTATGTACGGCTTATGCAATTGGGTTACCGTGGCCGCTGTCTTCAATCTCAAACCCCTGAAACGGATCGGTGCGCTCTTCTAGCGAGGGCATTGAGGTGTCTTGCGTGTTACATGGGCTACTCACGGGCACGCTGCGCAAGGGGCAAAGCAGGTTGTAGCGCGAAGCTGCACCAGGGCCAAAATGATGAGTTTTACAAAGCCAAAAAAAATGCATTTGCCTTTCGAGCCACCCAGAGCTCGACGAACCTGGCTCAAAAGATGTGATCGGTGCCCAGGCCAGCCAGCCTTGCCGATTGAGAAAGTGAATCGCCTCCTCTTTGCTTTGGTCTTCAAGCGGGCAGTCGAGATTGCGCTCCACGTAATGAGGGTCCTGGATGGGATATGACAGCGCTGTGATCAATGGCTGGGATGCGTTGAGACGGCAAGGGGTGGTGGATGCATTCGACACCAACCAGCAATAAAACCCGAGACTGCGCAGGGTTGGGATGGCGGGCAATGCCCACGAGAGCGCGCGCCGAATTGTCAGTGGTGCCACCAATCATGATGGGTGTGGCCTCGCATTGAAGATGCTGGGATATCAAAGCTTGCAAGTCACTGGCATGAGCTTTTGCGCCGCTCTCAAGGGTCAAGAGACGTGCCGTCACCTGGATCATTCGAGGGAGGCGAAACACCAAGGGTTGAGCGCCTCTTCCGTGTGCCGCCATGCGAACGCCATTGTTGTCAACCGTAATCAAGGACGTGATAAAGCACGCACACCAAGCCGATGGTCGAGCACCAGTGCTGCTTCAAAGGTCCCTATCCATGTCGTACTGCCTTGAAAACTTGGGGGCTTATCCCCGAGTTCACACAGCGTCTGCTGAATCGTACGAATGTGCGGCTCCGTGCTAGCCAAGCCAGGGCGTGTGCGTCAATGTCTTATGCCCACTGTCAGCGCAGCCAGTGTTGCCGGGCGTACCAAACGTGTGGCCGGGTATGTCCTCCCAAACGGAGACTTGAGCATAGTGTTTGCAAGGTCCGATAGCCACAGCCCCACCCCTAGGCTCGAAATGCCGTCCCAGCGTGAGTTGGGCTGTGGCTGAAGTGAAGCCCGTCTGAAACACATACGGTGCTACCTGGTCGTGGACGTCGTCCATGTTGTAGTGATAGTAAAGCAACGGCGTATCCAAGACGGTCACTGGCAAACGCACCAAAAATATCAAGGCGGGTCAGACCTTGATGCCAGCTCCGCTGCCCAGCTGCGTCAACACATTCTCCCACCTGTTAGCCTGGCGGGCACATGCTCCAGCCCCTCCTTCTTCGTATCGCCTCCCTTTCGTGCTGGCTCATCCAGCCGCCCATCCACTTCCACAGCATGCTTCAACCTTTGCCACGCGCGTACATCCACCAGCACGGCGGCCGCCACCGACGGCTCCACCACATCTGGCGCTGGCGCCGCCGCCATCCTAAATCGTCTGACATTTATTGACCCGATAAGAGAAAGTGTGAATAAAAGTACACTTTCTCTTAGCGAGCAAGCGAGCAAAGCACACACACACACACACACACACACACACACACACACACACACACAAGAGATCGCGTTTAGGGCGCCGAGGCGGCTGAGGGGGTGGTTAGCATCATGGCGCCGCTGCAGGCTGGCATCGTGCAGAGCTATGTGTTGGCTTTGGATCGAGGATGGAAGTAAGTGGTACTTGTTGGGCTTTGATTGGTGATCTCGAATGGGCTGGCGCAAATTTTGACGTTTGTGGTGCCTGTGATGCCAGGTTTGCGGTGATTATTATCTGGATCCTCCTCGCCGGCCTGTCATGCTGGCAAGGTATGTTCGATTTGATCGGGAGAACAAGCTCCTCTGCCCTCTTTTGATGAGGGCCCGTGCCTTCAAAGTCTGCTTGGGTTTTCTGGGAGCCGCCTTGTAGGGCTGGATTTCCTCGACTTGACAAATGATGATGGCGGAACCATTCCATCGCATTATCCCTCGGTGAAGGTGCGGCGTTGAAGCTGGATCTGTGCACGCACATGACCACGGTCGCTTCCTAGCCTCTTATGCATGTGGTCCTGCGCTTCTCTGCTTGATTTATGCCAACGCCGCAGGCTGGGGAGATGCTGTCCAACCTCAGCAATCCTCTCGGGGGCACGGACGTGTTTGCACTGCGCATCCGCCTGCCCAGTGATACCTCGATCGAAGAGCAGACCGAGTCTTTTGGTGCGCCTCGAGTACCACCCACAAGTGTCCCTATCCTGACGCTGACTCACCAATGGTTCTGCTACAATGCATTTGTGTGGCAGATGCCTTTTGCGACGGGCTTCTCGACGCCGTCTTAAACATGAGCGCTGTGAGCGACATCATCAGCTTTGAGTCGTATCAATGGTATACAGTCTTTATTGGCTACTACACGGATGATCAACCCACTTCATCGACTTCTTCAACCTCCACGGCAGCCACTGTCACTCACACAACAGCGCCACCATCGTCCACGGAAGGCTCCACCACCCGATCCGTGACATCGACTACTCCACAGGCCAGCACGACATCCGCCACATCGTCTACCACAAAGGACAGTACGACCCACGCAACTGTAAATGCTAGCACGACATCCACCGCATCATCTACCGTGTCATCTAGCACAGCATCTAGCACCACTTCCACCGCATCATCTGCCGCAAGTACAACTTCAACGTCCATCGTGACAACGACGACAACCCAACCCACAACGCTGTCCACCAGCCCTGCGCCTGTCATGTCCACGTCCCCAAGTACCACAACCTTGTCTTCTACTCTTTCTTCCATGTCGACGTCACAGGCGTCCTCAAGCTCGACAGAGCCAAGCGCCACTACGACATTAAACTTGCAGGCCCACCCACAGCGCCAGCGCCGTGCTGCGCAGCCTGATGTGTTCCGCTATTTCGATCGCATTCCCAATCGCCGACCCGACCTCCGGGGTTCGGACAATCAGACCATGGTTATCCTCTTTCGCTTTACCGACGGCTGGAGCGATAGCGACTTTGCAGCTTACAGCCTCATTGAAAAGTCTGCACAACGCCTCATTCAGACGCACTTGCCGCCCGGCACTTCACTCGTTGTTACGGGGGATGATGCACTCTGGAACACGGTCGTCGATGGCCTTGAAGCCGATTTGCTCCTGGGCGATAGCATATCCATCCCTTTGGCCCTGCTGGTGCTATGCCTGACGCTCCGCTCCTTTCGCTTCGTGGTGGTGCCCATTGTCAGCGTGGCACTCTCTGTGATTTTCTCCTTTTTGCTCATGGTGCCCGTGGCCAAGGCTACCAGCGTCTCAACGGTTGCCCCCAACCTCATGATGAGCCTCACTATTGCCATGAGCGTTGACTACAGTCTTTTCATTTTATCCCGCTTTCGAGAAGAGCTTCGCAAAGGTTGGTTCGTGTATCATACCCTCGGCAGGCGCTGCCGTCGCTCACGGCCTGCACCATGCCTGCTTGCACCATCAACCACACGACTGGTGAACTCAGGTCAACGCATGGAGGAGGCTTTGACCACCGTGCTGCGCACGGCGGGGCACACAATTCTGGTATCATGTGACTTTTGCCCTGCTCAGCTGCCCTGGGAGAGTAAGGAGCCGTGTGGCGTTCATCACTGATCATCATCCTCTGGTGCAACGCTCGTGTGCTCAAACCCAGGTGTCGGGCATCACCTTGATTCTGAGTTGCATGGGTCTCGTCATTCTACCCTTGGACCTGCTCAAATCGATGGGTATGTACGACCGGATTTGCCCACCTCCAGAGGTACAGTCACATAGGCCACTTGCACACCCTTCATGATTTGCCCCATGCTGGCGCATTGGTAGGCTATGGGTCAGGGGTCGCCGTGAGTGTGACGATTCTAGAGAATCTGACGCTTACACCAGCCCTTATTCTCACGTTTAAGCGCTTCTTCATCAACTCGGCCAAAACGTGCGTCCCAGGGTCCTTGACAAATTGGCACCCCCCCCCCCCCGCCCTATAGCTTTGGTGGTCGAAGCATCGTGTTTGCCTCTTACCAACATGATGGCTTAGAAAATGCTGCGGGGGACCGCTGCACGAGGACGTTGTTGCGCACGAATACATCCAGATTCGCCGTCATAGTACGTACCCGCTGTATTTTTACGAGTTCTGGCCCTTGATGTTGTTGGTTTTTGGGTTTTGTTACGCAGGCCGCTCAACGCCCATTCAATATATGCTAGGACATCAATACGCTCAGCTCAGCAACCGAGCTGCTTCGCTCAATGCAAACATGACCGGTCCCGCCAATGACGAGGACGAAGATGATGATGATGACATCTTGGACCCCAGCGCGTTGGATGAGTTTCCCTACGGTATGTTTTTGGTGGGACAAAGATCTCCTGGGCCCATGCTCATCCAGCTTTTTTCGCTGATGTGTGTCGTTTGGGGCATAAACATGATTAGACGACCAGCTGGAGCGAGAACTCGAAGCTGAGAGCATTCAACGAGCGCGTAGCTCGGCTTGGTTCAAGATTGGTGACTGGATCACTTCACGGCCGTGGATTTCCATTCTTAGCGTTTTTGCCCTCGCTGCTGCCTGTGCCTACCCGGCGCTTTCGTTTCATCGCATTGACGGAGTCCGCTGCGAATGCCCCTATAACAGTCACTACGTGCGAGGTAGACGTTGCCCGCTACTTTATGAAGAGTGTTCATCGGTGCACCCTTGGCCGGTATTAACATGAATCTGCTTTTTCTTGCGCCTGTTTTACCTCGAGGTTATAATACGTTGGCGTCGGAGTTTGGGGCAGGGATGGTTTTTCCATACGCCCTTGTGGTTGCGGCCAAAGAACGCAATGTGGTGCCATGGGACCCGGCACTGATTGACGACGTTGACATTCTCATGGCAGCGCTCGACAAGTATGTGCATGTGTCCCAGTTTAGCCGTCACTAGACTATTCTCATTTTGGCGCGCAATTTGCTTTGTTGGCATGTCTAGCTTGACGGGAAGTTCACAACGCCAAGCCTTTGGTTTTGCATGGAGTGGCGACATTGATCCGCCTGCGTTGCAACAGCCCGAGTGCTTTGATCCATTGCCCGACGTTCAGCAGTCGCCGTGCGAGGTCAGGAATAGAACGCCCATGCAACCTGCCCGTCGGCCGTCGGCCGTTGCGCGTTGACGAATGTGCCGCATTGTCTAGATGATGCGAACCTTGAATGCAGAAGTGCTTGCGTTGCCTGCGGTCAAAGCATGCATTCCCGTGTGTACCCAGGCTCTGCTCTACAACTCGCTCAATCCCAGCGAACCCAAGTAAGTTTTGGCATCTTTTCCTCATGAACTTCTGCTCACGAGATCGGAAGTCTTGGGTTATATGTTCGCGAGGGCACAGTGGGTATGGTATCAGCGCAATGTATTCTCACAGGAAGCCCGCCGCGTCAGCGCCACGTTTTTGTGGCTTGAGACCTTGTATGATTCGGGGTCGGTGGACGGCCAGGACTGGCTACGCCAAGCACGCCAAGTATGTATGCACCTGGCCATTGCTTGCCATAGCATTGCGAGATGCGCCACGCGCTATACTGCAAGAATATTTCAAATGCTTTTTTTTTTTTTTTTTTTTTTTTTTTTTTTTGTCATTGCACCCAGGTTTTGACCGAGCACACGGCGAACTCTGACTTTGAGTACTTCTTGGCTCGCGGCGACAACGGCGGTCAGTGCCTTTCAAATCGTGTCTCTTTGACCCTCTTGTGCTGGAAGCTAGATTGAGAGTAGAGGAGGTACTGGGGTAGGAGATTGTACTGCCTGGGCGGGTTTTATAATCATTTTCCTATGTCGCTTGCCGTGGGCGTGCATGCAGATGGGGACGCCATGGACTTCTTATATGCCAAGTTTGGCGTGATGATGATTGTAATTGCTTCGATGGTCTTTCTGCTGATGCTGGCGGCGTTTCGCAGCGTGCCCATTGCGCTCAAGGCCGTCGTGTCGATTGCTTTGACACAATTTGTGGTGTACGGGGTGGCCACTTGTGTCTACGAGTATGGGGCTTTGCATTGGACCGGCTTTCATGGATTCCAAAAACTCGGGGGCCTGTGCTGGGTCCCGCCTGTCCTCTGTTTCTGCGTCATGGTACGGCCAACAAAAAAACCACCGAGACAGTCTCCTTGTCGGCAGGGCCGGAGGTGGCCGCTATGCGAGGGGAAGCCCCGTTTGTTTGTCTTACCTGCTCTCTTTTTGTCTTTTGATGACCTTGGCATTGCCTTTTGGCGTTGTGTGACTTGACTTGCTGGTGAAAAGATGTTGACAGGTGCCTTGCTCATACTTTGTGTTCGCACCTCGTGAATGCTTAGGTGGGGTTGGGATTGGACTACCATGTCTTCCTCTTGTCACGCATCATCGAGTTTCGTCGCATGGGGTTTGGTGATCGCGAGAGGTACGTTAACGACCTTTGTCATGGAGCTTTTTTCCAGGCTGAGAACCAAGAGCTCATGTCACCTGGGATAGCGTTCTTTTGGGCTTGGCTCGCACGGGGCGGGTGATCACGGCAGCTGGCGTCATCATGGCCATTGCCTTTGTGGGCCTGCTGTTTGCCCACGAAGCACTTTTGGTGCAGGTACGATTGTTACTGGGCGAGTTGCTAGAGTAAGAACGGTCGTTTGGCTCGGTTGATAAGGGCCCGGCCACACTTCACAAAGCATGCGCGGGCGTCGCCCTTGGTGTGCAGATATCCTTCTACATTGTGATTGCGGTTTTGATTGACACCTTCGTGGTGCGGGCCTGTTTGGTCCCCAGCTTGATGGTCGTCTTGGGTCGCGTCAACTGGTGGCCCGCAACCATGCCCCCTGTGTCACGAGGGGATGAGATGGACGTGCGGCTCGATTTCTCCCTGTGACAAGCTCCTACACTGCCAAGCAGTCACCAATGTCCAATGTCCAATGTGTGCAGGTGTCGTTTGTATGTGTGTGCGATCAACATTACGGGCAAGCGTCAACCCTTTGCCAAATTCGATCCCTTGCGAACGTGACGTTCGAGACACACACACAAAAGAAATTGTGCACGGAGCCCTCAAACTCCGAGCTCCGAATCGGAGTTGACATGCTCTCTCTCTCTCTACACAACACACACACACACACACACACTCTCTCTCTCTCTCTCTTTGAAATTTCTCGCTGCTGCTCTTGTGGCGCTGGTGGTCGCCTCCGTGCGCACGCGGTCGGTTGCTGGCTTCACTGCAGCGTCCTCAGTCGTGCGAGTGTATGCTTGTGTATGGAATTGTGGGACTGATGCTCCTGGGAGTTGCATGACAGCCAGTGGTTCTTGGAGGTAGGAGACAGTGACCACGCGTGTGCTGGAGCAGGAGCTGAAGCTTGCAGGAGCCTTTGAGGAGCGCTGAGCGCCGTGAGGATCTGAGACTGACTGTGGCGGCTCCTTCTGGTGACTTTTCTGCTTGAGCAAGTTCATTTTTTCAACTCGTGGACCGTGGTCATCACCAACCTTGACCGACCACCTCGACAACAGACCCTTTGAGCTCGCTGGAGGCCACGCTCTTCGACGGTTAATGTTGGCTCGTTCCTTCTCGGGATGGGGGTCGACGGCTTGCAGATCGCGGCGGTGCCGACCATTTTCTTGGTCGGTCTAGGTGGAACACAGATTCCCCGTTTAATCCGAGCTCGTGTAAAAAATGCGGAAACAATTTTACACATTGGCACGAGCTTTGCTGCCGGCGTCTTTCTCTCCGCTGGATTCATGCACCTGCTTCCGGATGCCATTGCCGACTCAGACCAGATCGACGACAAATTTCCATTCGCGTACCTTGCTGTGCTGTGTGGTTTTAGCTTGGTTTTCTTATTGGACCTCATCGCCTACGTTGCGCAACGGCACCACCTGACGGAGCAGCATGAGCGCTCCATCTTGGTTGCTGAGATCAACAGCAACAAACCTTTGCAACGCGCCCAGCCTCCTGTTGACACGTCCTTTGAGCTTGGATCAGCCATTCCTACACATGGTTGTACGTATCAATTGAGAGTGCTGCTGCCTCTTGGCAGCGTATCACTGCAACCACCCTTCCCCTCATCCTCTTTGTGGTTGCTCGCGCGATAGCTCCAATCACTAGTGATACAGAGAGCGACCATGAGCTGGTGAGCCCACATGCATGAGTCAAAACCATTCTTTCGTGAAAGCTCGGCTTTGTCATGGTGTCTGTGTCGCCCTCATTGTCACGGTTGTTGTCCCGGCATGTGCTTGGCGTTTGCTGGGACATCACGTGCAGCTTTTATCGACAGCACCATCACCGTGGGTGGTGTTGGCTCTGTTGATGGCCTTGATCATTCACTCGGTCATTGCCGGTTTGGCGCTGGGCGCTTCGGAAGATGAGGAGGTGGCCTTGTTGGTTGCCATCCTCGCTCATAAAGGTTGGTCCCATATTTGAGCAAGCGACCTCATGTGCATTGGCCCCACGATTGCATATTGCTCAGTCATCGTCCGTCTTCGCCTACGACTCGTTCCAGGGTTGGCAGCATATGCCCTGGGTGGGGAGATTATGAAATCGCGGCTTGCTGCGTGGAAAAAGGTCAGCAGTGCACCCACAGCCCTGTACCAATGATGCGTGCCGTGCCGCCTCGACTGCGAGTTGTTTCTAGCGACCTTATTTGGCTTGGCTCCCACCTCGACAACGATAGCACCTGTATGTGGCTGCTTTTTCCTCATCAACGCCCGTGGGCATCCTGATTGGCATGTTTGCTGGTATGTGGCGGGCCCCATTTCCATGCGCTACGGCTCTGGGTGTGTGAGTGCATTGACTTTCTCAACTGCCGGCGCTGGCTGGGCTGCAGGCTTTAATTCGCCGACGCAGTTGAGCATCCTCAAAGCCATTGCCTCTGGTACCTTTATTTTTATTGGTGCGTACTCGAGCCTAAGGGTCGTGTCTGCATACCTTGCCGCACACCTGTGCACACGCCGTGGAAGGTGCACGCATGGCTTCACTGCCGTGTTTTTTTTTTCCTTGCTCGCTTTATGTTGCAGGTGGGAACCACTTGGCTGTCGAGATGAAATCGGTGACCATGCTGCCGGCTTTGGTTCAAAACTGCCTCGGCTTTCTTCTTGGCCTGTCCATCATGACCATGCTGGCCATTTGGGTCTAACGTATCGGGCTCCGTCGTGTCAGCGAGAGTCTACCCATGTTTGTCATGAACACTAGAAATGTCAAGTCTGCACGAGACATGGGCGTTTGGACTTTGAGAGTTTTTGCATGCACGTTTCCCCTCCCCGACCCGATTGCAGAGCAGCAACGGCCATGACGACACCGGTGCTGCGTGTTAGACAAGGAGCCCGCCCTCTCCGATATTGAATTGACCAGGCTTCTTGCCCGCTGCCGCTAGCGTCGCGCGTCGCGCCCTAACACCACGTGTCATGACTGATAACAACAAGAACTCAGCAATCACCAACAACGTTTCCCACACGGGTCTTTTATAGATCTTCAATAAGTCTATAAAATGCCCCATTTGCTCCACATCAATGGGTCGTTGTCAGACGATTTGGTGTTGGTGTTTATCATTGCGTTTTGCGCCATTTTTTCTTTTTCTCTTTTTTTTTGGAGGTGACGGCGCGGTCGGCGGTCCTATTCAACAGCCACACGGGTCGGCCGGGGCGTTGGACTTTGGACCCTGAACCGCCGGTAGCCTTGTCGAAGGCGGAGAGGTATACGTGTGTCGCGGTGTGGAGAGCTTGATCGTCTTGGTGACACCACCGTCTGGTTGGACTTGGCCGGCGGAGGCACGTTCGGCTCCGGCAGGGGTGGCTCTCTTGAGCCAAGTCGCCGGAGCACCTTTCTGCGCAGCGGGATACGCTGTCGAAGCACCGTTTCCACCATGCGGCATGGGCTTCAGTACATTGCCATCCCAACGGTTCTGGTGGCAGGCTTGATTGGGGCCTTTCTGCCACGGGTGATTGTGTCGCAGGCAGACCATGCGGGCCGCGTGCTGCAGCTGGGTACCGCGCTGGCCGCTGGTGTCTTTTTGACGGCCGGGCTCGTGCACCTGCTGCCCGATGCGCTGAGTCAGGACCCCAGCCTGGATGAGCACTATCCCTTTGTGTTCCTGGCCACCACTCTGGGATTTGTGCTCGTCTTAGCCATTGATTTGATTGCCTTTATCGTCGTGGATGCTGACAACAACAACAACAACCCTGACATCAGCCCACTCCCCACGGCTTGTGGAAGCCCGCGAAGCGGCAGCAAGCTGAGCTCGGACATGGAAGGGCCCATGAGCGACCCGCTTTTGACTGAAAGCAGCACTCTGCTGCCCGCGCACAATTGCAACGTCAATGAGCTCTCCTGTTCTCGCCCACGTGGCATGTCCTCCACCTCCACACGCCGTACGTTGGATGTTGCGCAGAGCTGCACACGACTGGATGCCGTGCAGTCTAGATACACCGCGTCATATGCCAATGAAGAGAGGGGGCGAGATGTGGGGAGGTGTGGGTAGGTTTAAAGACTGACTGTGCTGCCGGCACTTTGATAGGACGTGAGCGCAGCCGCTACGCGACTATGAGCACCAGTCATGAATCATTGGCGGTATGATTCGAACATGTGGTTTTTGTGGCTCTTGGGCGCCTGCGAGTGAAACTTGAGCCTGAATGGAGTCTTGTGTTGTTGCTCACTCTTGCCGAGTGGTCTGGCATTTGTCTAGGTGTTGGGACGGACAAAGTCGCCTTGGGTGGTCATGTCCCTGCTGATGGCTCTTCTGGTCCACTCGACCATCGCTGGTCTGGCGCTGGGCGCCTCGAACCAAGCTGTCACGGCTGTATTTGTGGCCATCCTGGCGCACAAGTCTTTAGCTGGCTATGCCCTGGGCATGGAACTGTTGCAGAGCGCACTCAGCAAGTCTTACCAGGTTTGATGAGCTGCCGTCGTTCACGGCGTCTTGCAAATGCCTGGGTGGACGGCTGCTTTTCATTTCATTGGAAACATGGCTGTTGTGGGCTAGATCACACTCATTCTGCTGTTTTCAATCTCAACGCCCCTGGGCATCGTCATTGGACTCTTTGCCGGTCAGTGCCGCATCTTGGGCAGATGCAGAAAAGCAAGCGACGCGGCCTCTTGTCCATACGTTGTTGCTGATTTGCGTGGTGCGACGGACGGGCTTTGTAGGCATTTCTGGGTCAATGGCGCTGGCTTTGATCAAGGCGGCCGCGGCTGGCACTTTTCTCTATGTCGGCGGGAACCACTTGGCGGGAGATCTCAAGGCGTCGGGGAGTGTTTCTTTCATGCTAGGAAAAATCTTTCTGGTCTTGGTTGGCATCGGCGCCATGGGCGTCATTGCCCTCTATGACTGACCCATTTTGGCCTTTGCCAAGCACAGCGTGCAGGGGCATTTGTCGAGGATTTTGTGGGAACACCACAACCATCTGTTTGAACGGCTGGGCTTGAACTGGGATCCCCGACCAAGAGACTTCCGACTCCGATAGACTATGATTCAGATATAGACTTGCATGTAGTTGAAAAAAATAAAACTCGATTGGATTCTGAAGTTTGGGTAAAGCGGCCAACCCGGGCCGAGTCTCAAGGTGAAAGCAAAGACAAGAAAAGGAACCCACAACGTGTTGTTACTAAAGCATGCGCCCGTGTACCTTTGGCTCCAAGAAAAGGACCCCACAACGTGTTGTTAGTAAAGCATGCGCCCGGGTACCTTTGGCTCGAAGGGCGTGCATCGCTTTAGCCCTCATACGTGGGCAGATTTTCGTCAACACGAGCGCGAGCGACCACGGGAACGACGGCCGGTGACATCCAGCTCGAGTCCTCGGCCACGGCATCGGCAAAGCCACGGGAGATGGGAACATCCAGCTCGACGAGCAGCGAGGCCAAGCCGTCGTCCAAAGTCCAGTCCTCACTGGTCAGGACATGCTCCAGGATACTGGTGGGCATCTGAAGGTTGCGCGGGGTGGCCAGCTGACGCAGGAGGTCCACGGGACTGCCACTGCTGATATCGTTGCCCTCGTTACATTCCAGCATGGCCATGATGACGGTGAGGCCATTGGGGAGTTGCACGTCGCGGTCCGCGCCCAGCTCGAGCAGGACGGCCACTGTCTCCGGGCGGGCAAATACGTGGGCAGCCCACATGAGTGGGGTGGCAAAGCAGTAGGCGACGTCGCGCATGGGGGCGTCGTATTCTCCGGTGGGAAAGCATTCGTTGGGAGTGCCGCTTTCACCGCTCTGAAACTGCGGTGGCTGACTGTAGGGCTCCGCTTGATCTGCCAGTGCCGGGTGCTGTGCGAGAACATCATAGTCCATCTCGTTGACCTTGGCCACTTCTTCGTAGGCTGCCAAGGGGAGGATGCCCTCATTGATTTCGGCACCATCATTGACAGCCTGTCGGATGGCTTGCACGTCGTTCTGGAGGACGGCGCGCACCAGCTTGAGCTGCGCACGGCGCGCAAAGCGCTGCATGACCTCGGAGAAGAGCTCCTCCCCGTCCACGCCCTCCAACGCGCCCTCGTATTTGTTCATCTTTTCGATGCTTGGTCCGAAAAACAGGGTGATCGATCTACGAGAAAAGCAGTGCCACGCGAGAGGGAGAGAGAGAGTCATGATGGGTGCGAAGGGGGTTTGGCATGGTCGACAGACCCAACAAGGGGATCCCAATAGGAGAGATCACACAGTCAGGAGATCACACAGTCAGGGTGTATCGCAGACCAGGCGCCTGCCTCACCTTGCAGAGATCTAGACACAGAGAGAGGAGGCAGAGAGAGGAGTCCAAGCTCTGTCACAGCTGAGGTGAGGGGTGCTAAAAAAAAAAAATGCACGTCTTCGTATGTCCCTCTCTGCATATGATGACGTAAAGAGAACACTGTGTGTGTGTGTGTGTGTGTGTGTATGTGTGTGTGTGTGTTTTTGTGTTTTGCTACATGTGCTCTGCTTATGCCGTTTGCTACACTCCACTCTATTTTAAGCGCAGGACGGCTCTGAACCGTCTCCTTTGCCCCTGTCATCTCTTGTTTGAAACTGCTGTTTGAAACGCTCTCGCTTTCGTTTGTGCCTGCATGCAAGGGCGCAAGGTGGCGACGGCGAGCACCTTTTGATTGGTGCAAGTACGAAACACACACACACAACGCGGCATAATAATATCATTGATAGCACCACAACTACTATTTGAGTTGTTGCCCCTGTCTCGTCCTGGTCTCTGGGGCAGTTTCTTTTTCTGCTATAGCCTGGTGGTATCGGTCGACCTTGCCGTCTTTCGTCACGAGCCGGCGCCCACCCCTTTGGTGCTGCACCAAGCCGGCATGGCACCTCGGTCCGTGGCCGCTGGGCTGGGACTGCTGTTTTCCTTTTTGACGCTGGTCCAGCCGCGCGGGCACGCCCCAGCTGAACCGAAGGAAATTCACAACCACGAGTACATTTTTGTCATTGGACAACACCACAGGTCTGACCGCTCTCAACGACCCTCTGTGCTGCTGGAAACTGCTTGCGCTCACCCAAACACGCCTTGTGTTTCCCGCGCCATTTCTGCGCTTGTGTGACAGTGGAACGACCATTCTCGACCTCATTCTCTGCCAGCACAACAACATCAGCTGCATCCAACGTCTGTCACCCCGGCTCGACCCTGACCCCGAGATGCACCGCTCCCTGCCATACTGCAGCTCACGCATGCTCTCAACCCCTGTTTTAGAGTCCAATGCACCGCAAAATGAGGGTCAGCACCTGCAGCACGTGTACCCCTCGGCGCGAAAGCTGGGCGGGATGCAGGCCTACGCCTTGCACTCAGAAGGCCATCTCCTCCACAACAGCTCCTTCATGACCTCGCACAGTGGACAAGACCTGTTTCGGTCTTGGTCGCGCTACTGGAATACGTCCAACTACTACTTGCTCGAGAAGAGCCCGCGCCACGTGATCATGACCCGTTTCCTGCAGGAGGCCTTTGCCCCGCATCCCACCTATTTTCTCTTCATCATGCGTCATCCGCTCGGCTGCTCGCATTACAACTGGCGACGACGCTGGCGCGCGCTGCGCACCACCTGCGGCCGTGAGATCCTTCTCCACTGGCTTCAGGTGCACGAGTATTTTGCTGCAGACCACCTGCACTTGCACAACATCATGGGCATTCAGTTTGAACTGTACCTCAACCGCTCCAAAAGCATGGCCCAGGCCTATACCAACATCTTTTTCGACTTTTTGCATATTCCAGACCCAGTGCAGCTGGAATTCAGCGAGGACCACAGCACCCACTTTGATGACGAGGGCCACTCCTTGGAGCTGCACGACATTGACCACAATGTGATTCGACCCCATCCGATCCACGACAATGGCGACAGCGGCACCGACGATGACGATGCTGTTGTGCGCGACCTCGGAGCCAAGGCTGATGGGGCTGGCAACGACGACGGTGGCCGCAGTGACGACGATGACGACGACGACGAAGGCGACGATTTTGATGAGGATGACGACAAAGGCCCCGACCATGGGCTGCAACGCTCCCCCAAGAGACTGCGCCGACGTCGTCTGCTCGAGTTTCACGGCGATATTCACCATGTCAAGGTGCGCTACGGCGGCGTTTACTCGTGGATTAACGACTGGAATCGGATCGTCGACATGGACTCGCCCATCTGTCAAGCCGTGGTGGCGGACCTCGAGCCTCGTCTCAACCGTTTTGGCTACTCGCTGAAAGATCTCACCTGGATCGGTGAGCCCGAGCCATTGGCCGATCTGATGCTCAAAGACCCCTATAAAGTCGGTGTTCGCCCCTGATCCCGAGGGGTGCTTTGTCTTCTGCGGCCTTTCTTGTAGTTAGCGACGCTGCCGCAACCACCCAATTGTATCAGCTGAGATGAAGATGTGTGTGTCCCCTTCTGCATCCTCGCAATGAGATCCCTGTCTGGGGCACTCTTCAATCATATCATTGCACGCCTCTCTCTCTCTGTCTCTCTCTTCTCTGTCTCTCTCTCAAACTCTCTCTCTCTCTCAAACTCTCTCTCTCTCTCTCTCTCTCTCTCTCTCTCTCTCTCTCTCTCTCTCTCCTTGTGTTCTCCTCTCGATCCCAGTCCCTCTCTCAAACTTTCTCTTAAACTCGCTCTCTTGAAAACGCTTTCTTTCTCTGTCTCTGGCTCTCTGGCTCTCTCTTCATTCTCTCTTCATTCTTTCTGTCTCTCTCTTCTCTGTCTCTCTCTCAAACTCTCTCTCTCAAACTCTCTCTCTCAAACTCTCTCTCTCAAACTCTCTTTTCTCTCTCTCTCTCTCTCTTTGGACAAAGAGTAAAATGCGATCATCAAGACGCATTCATTTCACACGGGACCATCTCTGAAACATCTCGCTGACATTACCATTCTCTGTCTTTTGCTTTGTTTCCTCTATACACCACCATCATAACATCAACACCTCTCTGCCTCGCCACCCCTTGCTCTCTCCTTCTCTTCCATGAAGACATAAAGGATCCGCCCCTTCTGTGTCTTTAAGTTTTTTATTTTTTTATTTTTTATCGAGCTGCGGAGCTGAAACGGCAGCGTGCCGCTCTACTACTGGTCGGACTTTTGTGCCCCGCCTGACCTGCGAGGGTGCTTGGTAAAGTGTCGAGTACGGAACACGTCAACTTGTGGATCAGGTAGGCTCGAGCTCTGCGCTGGTGTTAGGGAACCAAAGGCGGAGCGCGACCAGTGCGCGCAGATTTTGTTGGAACGGGGGGAGCACGCGTCGTGTGTCGACCGGGATGGTATAGCGGCAAGGTGGAGCCGCTACGTCCCGCATCCTTGACATGAGAAGGATTTTGGGACCGTGCAATTCCCGTGCGGGACCCTGATGGGACTTGTACGGGGGCCTGTTTGAAACCTGTGCCAAACTGCTCATGGCGTAAACCTCACATCGGACTACATTGACCCTCCCCCTTGCGGTTGTCGTAGCTGGGCCCCGTTGGCTTACAGCAACAGACCGGCGCCATGATGCGCTCATCAAAGCGCAAGTCCTCCATGAAGGGCATGAACCCGGCATTTATCACAGCAGTGAGCAGCTTGGACTCCATTGTCAACGCCCCAACACTTGCGCCAAGCGCACCTCCGACAGCTCACATTCATACTCACTGTCCGTGCTAGATTGACGAACACTCGATAAGTGCGCCGTACTACCTGCAAAACCAGACTGCCAGCCATGTACAAGAGCAGCTTGAGGGTGAGCGCCGTCGCGCCCGCAGTACACCTTGCCAACCAACGACCCGACCCATGTTGTTCATTGCGACGCTGGCCCTCGGCGCCTAGGTCTACCCGACGGCACGTTTTACATTTACGACGACGGCAAGGGCCACAACTTTTACCTGTGCTATCGGTGAGCTGGCTCTTGCAAACCCATCCCAGCCAATGCTCTTCTGCTCACGCCGACTCCTTGTGATAGGCACGCGGAACAAACAAAGACAGCCACCATCAGCGCCACTGCGGAGGGCGTTTTCATCTCCACCTCCACTGAGAAGTTTGGCAGTCTGATCGAGCTCGTGTGCTACTACAGGTACAGCAACCATGGCTCGTGTTTGGTGACCTTACTCGTTGACCCTGCACAACAGCATGGCCCTCTAACCTCTCCTCCCCCACGACTCGGTCGCGACACAGCAACGCAAATGCCGATTTGCCCGTTCGCCTACAGGTTTGTTCTCGCAGCGAGTTGATCTCCTCTCCTCGCTGTTTTCGAGGATTCCAGCGCCACTCTGGCCCTCACTTGGTGCGGTTATACTGGCTAGCTGGACCCTAAAACGTTGAAAAAGGCTCCAAAAGTCTCCAAGAACCGCGCCAAAAGCCTCGAAAAATTTCGCAAAGCTCAAGAGCGCGAAGAGAAAAAGCGCGAACAAGCCCGCCTCAAGGCAGGTTTTCCCGCCCGATACTCGGTCCCAAACCACGGTGCCTCGTGCTTGCTAACCCGTTGTCCTCTTTTCTCTAACCCGCTACCCCACTCCGCACCCGAGCAGGGCGCCGAACTTCCCGGTGCCCAATTGACCGTGGCTCACATTGTGACCTGGCTCAAGAACGAGGTGTGCCCCCTTTTGCTTTCAGTGCCGGCTCGCCACCCAACCCTACAAAGCACAGGCCGCCACCCAATCGCGTCCCCTTTCTCACTGGCATCTGCCGTATCTAGGGCATGGGCGAATACGCTGGCAACTTTAAGAAGCAAAAGGTCGATGGAGTTCGACTCTTGGCTTTGACCGAAGATGATCTAGCTCGTCTGGGCGTCAGCGTACGTTTTTGTGCGACGAGTACCCCCATGCTTTCCCCTTTTATAGACTCGCGCTCACCTGTGATTGTGGGTCGGGGCGGTTTGAGCAGTTTCCGCAGCACCGCCAGCAAATCATGCGTGCCATCGACAAGCTGCGGCGCCGCTTCGAGGTCAGAGACCATAAAGCGTGCTGGCCTCGTACTTGTCGCCAATAACGTCGTTTTTGGCTCGCGGGCATCATTTGGCTCCTCACATGCTAAACTTGTCCCGTAGGCTGAAGCAGCAGGCATTGACGTGGAGGCCGAGGTGCGTCTAGGCTCACCGACCCCGTGTGGATGTTTCACAATGCATCCTGTGTCGCTGATCGAGACTTGTGGGTTTGCCTTGCCTTCCACTTGCTGCATGCAATGGTGGCCCGCGTGCCATCTCACATAGGCTGCACAACAAGCTGCGCAGCCTCAACCCTTGATTCCCGAGCCGGAAGAGGGTAAGGCGATTGGCGTCATCGGCCGCAACATTAACGGCGTGATTCGTCTCTTTGACGAAGAAACCAACGAAGAAATCGATGACCTCGAGAAGCACCAAGCCGCCATGCGGGCGCGCATTGCCCAAGCCAAACTCGCGGTATGCCTCATGACCAAGCCCCTACTCCCTTGCCAAGCCTTCCTCCACGCCCATGCTGACTGGACACTTTTTTTTTTCTTTCTTCGTTTTTTTCTCTCAGCTGCAAGCGGCCAGTGCTCCCAAGACCCCCGTGGCCCAGGCACGGCTGAAATGATCTTTGCTGTTCATTGCCCCTACTTTTGCCTCCTGCCCGGGTTATTCTTACAGTCCCACGTGTATGCTTTGCTGTCATGGCTCAGGCTTACAATGATGACTTTTACGCGAGCCGCGAAGCCGTGGTGCCGCCCCCGGCCCAGGCACCACCCGTGATTGAGGACCTTGACATGTATGACGCTGTTCAAAGGTGCGCTGCGCTCTTCCCGCCTCGCCGATGGCCCTTTTCAGTTTGAAGTCATGCCTCTAATGTGGCGACCCGCTCAACTTCTCCCTTTCTCGTGTCGGCCGTGCTCGACCCTTTAACAGCAAGGATGCCCAGTTTGGCTTTGGCCAAGCAGAGACCAGTCTGCCACCGCCGGCCCTGGCCCCACGCGGGGCTGCTGCCCGCTTTCAAGAGCCCATGGGTGGCGACTCGAGCACTGATGATGGTCAGTTTGCCCGCAGCCACTTGTCAATTCCTGTTTGTGTCCCGAGTTGTTGTGTATCTTTGCGCCACCCTTTTTTTTTTTTTTTTTTTTTTTGTTTCTTTTTGTTTTTTGTTTTGTTTTTTTTTTTTTTGTTTTTTTTTGTTTTTTCATGGGTACATGGTGCTTGGGTGTTGTACTGCAAACAGGCCCAGCCAGTCTGCCACCGCGCCGTGGCACAGTAGACAACACGGCCCCGCCACCCGTGCCAGTGTCCAACCGCCCTCCCCCTTTGCCAACATCCGATCGCCCGGGCAGCATCAAGCGAGCACCCTTGCCAGCGCCCCCCTCGCCAGCAGCTGCCCCGGCTACCCCACCGCCACGCGAAGGCCGACCCCCTGCTGGGCCGCCACCTGTGGCCCAACGGGGGCCCGCTCTTCCTCCGTCCCGACCCCAAGCCCAAACGCCACCCCCAGTCCCCGAGTCTCCCCACCGACCTTCACTGGGTGCCCGGCCACCCATGGTGCCCCCCGTTGGCGGGCGAGGCCCGCTGCCCGAGGTGGGCGGAGCCCCCGTCGGACCCCCACCGGATCACCTATTCCAGTTCAACACCAACCTTCCTCCGCCCGTACGTACATGCGCGCATTGCTTTTAAGTATAAGTGCACCGTCGAGTTCACCACACGGTTTATGAGCGTGCCGTCGTCTTGATAACTTGGTGCGGTGGCAACGACATGCTAGGATCGGCCTCACGGCGTGGTCGATGTCAAGTCGACGCAGGCTGGCTGGTACTACCGGGGCCCCGGTATCGATCAGGTTAGGCCTCATATTGTAAACGCATAAATGCACTTGCGCGCCACGTCTCTTCTCTCGACTTTCTGTTTGATCTGATTCCCGCTCATCTCGGCTGTTTGGGCACTGCTCCCAACATTCACTTGCGCGCAGCGTATTGAGGAGGTGCGCGGCGCGCCCGAGGGCACCTTCCGGGTCTTGGACGTTCTTGATGACACAGGCAACAACATGCTGGTCCTTGTATATGTTGCCGCGGGCCGAGCCTTGGCCAGCTGTCGACTCCACTCGGATAAGGTGGGCTCGCCCGCTTGCCATCACATGGCCAAGGGGCTAAGCCCGCAGTCACATCGGCTCACCTTGCCGTACTCTTGAATCACCCTTAGTTTGGCATTGGCTTTAAATTTTCCAAGGAACGCTTCCAAATGCTGTTCGATTTCATTCGCGTAAGAGCACATGCATCTTCTGTCACGCCACTTTCGCTTCAATAACATCCTCCGTTGAAGACAATGGCTCACTGTGGACATGGGTATGGTGGTTTATCCAGAACTATGGCAACGACAACCGCGAGTGCCCCTTTTTGCTGCGCGTGCCTCCCAATATGCTGCGCCTCAAGCTTGATGAGGAGAAGCACAACCTCTTCACTCAGGCCTGGTTCTTCAAGGATCTCAGCAAGACCACCTGCGAAGACTTTTTGCAATATGAACAAACGGGCAGCTTTGTACGTGCCGAGTCTAGCTCCTTTGCTCCTTTGGTTTTCCCCGATGGAATATTATAGGCTGGCATGATGGTCAAGTTTGCTTTGACTCGCCTCACCTTTCTGGCCCGACTTTGAGCAGGTGGTGCACTCCAGTGAGTCGGCGCCCGGCAGCTACAATCTTGCGTATCTCAATCACACGGTCAACTCGGCGGTCAGTCTGGGAAGCCCTAGGGAGATTGATTTCCGCTTTTTTGTCTTCCTGTCTGTTCTAATTAGAACGGTTGCGACACTGTTGCCAATGCTTCCGCGTGTGCGTGTATTACAGCTCCTCGAGGCCACGGGCTCGGGCTTTCGGTTGCAGGGCACCGGCGAGAACTGGCCCTCTCTCCAGGCCGCTATTCAATCGCTGGTTGCTGTGTTTCATCCTACTTTCAATTGCCAACTCCGCTACATCCGCCCCTTTCACATTTTCATGGAAGAACGCGAGGCCAAATCAAAGATGGCCGGTGCAAGTACGTGTGCTTACATACGCTGCAAGACCCTTTGTTCCCTTCTTTTTTCTTTTCTTTTCTTTTCTTTTCTTTTCTTCTTTGGTTTCATTTCTACTCTCCATCTAGTTTGTTGAACTGGTGCCCTGTTTGATGCCTTGAATCCTGATTGTGGCTGGCTCCTCCCCACTTTGTGCTTGGCAAACGTGCGGCTGTCTGATGTAGCCAACACAATGACCATGGATGCCATCGCCCTGCAGCGCCAACAGTCTTGGAAGGTACGCTTGACGATCCACCGCTGCCCGTAAATCCTGCGTGGCGTGCATCACAACAAAGCTTCGACTTGTTTCTTATCAATGCCTCGCCTACACCGCCTACACTTGTGGCAATGCTGTGTAGGGATCATCACGCCCACAGGCACGGGCGCCTGCCCCGGCTCCGACTCTCCCTCCCATTCCTTCGGGCCTGCCCACAATGGACTGGGACTGGCGCTCACGAACGCGCCAAGAAGCTCTTGCGTATCTTCGTGGTAGGTCCCGCTCTGTTCCCCGCCCATTTCCAACTCGCCGGGCTGACACGCATGCGGCTATGCGGCATCTTAGGCAAACCCCCGGGCACCTTTATTATCCGCGCCAGTGACAAGAGCTTTGCCGCGCTCTCCATGATTATTGGTGATGGCTCGGACTACCACATGCACATTGAGCAATCTGCAGCTGGTACGTTGTGCTCGTGGCTGTCATGTACTTTTACCGCGAAATTCCAACTCACTTGCAATGTTTTGCTGTGCATGGGACAGGTGTCAACTTTAAAAAATCGCGGGACGTCTTTGACAATCTCCTCTCGTTGCTGGAGCACTATGCGCAGCCCTCGCAGAATCTGCTGCCCGTTGCCTTGAACTTTCACTGACGTGCAAATTTATCTCTGTTCATATTTGAGGCGTGAGTGACTGTTCAAAAGCAATACACAACATTGACATACATCACTAAAAAGTCCCTAGGAAAGTATCCCTTGCAGTTTTTGGTTTGAGCCAACAAACTTTTCCCCAAACATACCTTTGAAATGGCAGCAGGTCCTGACCTTGCACATCGCATATCTCATTGCACCTTCTTGTGCCTCTTTGGCCATGAGGCTCGAAACATGCCAGTTGCTTTTGTGTCGATCTCGAGTTACGGCATTGGCATGATTCGCATGAAGGGCTCTTCTCACCCTCTCACCGATGCTGAAGTCGAGACCTTCTACACGTAAGCATACGCAAGACACGAATTGGCACCTGATTGATAAGCAGACCATTTTGCATGAAAGCTTGTGGGTTATCCATTGCCTCTCACCTCGAATTTTTTGTGATCTTTCTATACAGGCGCAGCGACGAATGCAAGCCACACATGCTCTTGAGGTGTAAGAGCTAGTTCGCTGTGGTACTGACACAGAGAGTGGTGTTAGGGACGAGACATGAGAGCGTGGCATCGGGCGCTTTTCTTGGTTCCAATTGAAGCTTATTTGCCCTACCACTCACGCGACGATGGGGCATGTCACTGCTCTGGATTGGCGCTTTCCGCTGTGAATTCAAGCGTTGATCAACGCCTGAGGGAAGACGTCATACATCACGGTCAACAGCTGTCCAAAGGCAGAACGTGTAATTCTTGCCAATTGTTTGCCCGGCAATTAGCAAGCATGGTTTTGAGCCCTTGAGAAGAAATTCAATTTGAAGCTCAAAAAGGCTAAAGCTCAGACCAAAGCCAAGGCCTAGGCTTTGACTCAGGCAACCTGCAAAGCGAACATATATCCAAGTGTCAGAGAATGCTTTGTCCAGATTAGATTTTGTACATCAGTCGACACCCCGATAAGCCCATGACCAAAGAAAACATCGAATCAAGAGCAACGACAGCCAACATGCTGGGCCTTTGGACAGTACACCTTCGTCGTGCTCCTCAATAACCAAGACGCAAGGATACCGGAGTTGTTCGTAGACGAACACAGAGCGAGCCAGTCACTGCCCTTTTGGCAATTTGCATGGAAACTGACATGGCCCATCCATGACGATACATGCACGACGGGCGCTAAGCCCACTAGCCATCGGTCCTGCCAAACCCCTGTCTACAGCCACATCCAGCGCGTCATTTGGCCACTTTATGATTCGCAGCACCCATTCAGGCTACTGAACTGGTTCTTTTGTTTGGCAATTCACAGTTCAAATTCTACGCAAAGAGTAAATGTCATGACGTAGGAGTTGGGATACACGATCTGCCTTGGCTCGACGCTCGGCCTAAAGGCACAAATACCACTGTCAGCTGTATGCGGGGAAATGTCAACGTTCCAACACCAAAGAGTCACACAGTGAAGCGGTTCTCAACACCAAGGCGCACCGATATCCTTGACAAACCCGGCTTCCATCATGCCCGGCCGTTGCAACGCCTGTACATGCCTGTTTACCCCGGCGATGCCGCATGCCGGCCGTCTGCCAGCCGAGGTGGGATGACCCGAAATGGCAGCCACATATCAGCGGAATACAAGAAGATGAGCATTCGAAAGCTGGCTCAACCATAGTTAATGAGGTAAAAAATGTATCCCACCTTTTGATCTCTGAAGATTGATCGAGTGGCCACCAGGGCGCTGCCGTTTATCTTCCTTGCCAGACAGCTCCAGCCTCCAACAGAGGGAAAAATGAACGGAAAAAATTTATTTTTGGTAACAAATGACCAAAGGTGTTCAAAGGTAACGAATACCCTCACTTTGTTGAAAGTTTATCAGGGGTAGGATTGTTCTTTTGTCATCATCAATTATTTCACAACAATAGTCAAATTTGTTGTTGACCAGTTGAAAAACTGAAACAACATTTCTCGAAGCTGAACATCACCACCATTCTGAGGCGCTTCCAATTTCACAGACACTGGTGACTGGCTCGTCGATTTTCCTTTGAATTCGATGGTGTGAAAATCAGTCCACGTCGCTGTTGATGTCGAGTCCGATATGATGGTCTTGAAGTCATCGAGCGAAAGGTTACCAGGAGCCCCCTCTAATCGTTTGTCTTTTGACAATTTAGCTGATTTATATTCGAGGCCGTAGAAGGTTGCTTTGAGGAAATATTCGTCTTGAGAGACGCGTTCTACTGAAAAATCAACTTGAGGCATGACAACGGTGCGCTTTGCATGAAGATCCAGAAAAATGCGCCCCAGCGTGACGTTTGCAAAGCACCAGCAATATCCAGCTCTCTAGCTCGCTGAGCTCAGCAGCCACACCTGAGTTTAAGCGTCTTCTGCAACATAGTCAAATGCAGCGGCTTAACTCTGCTGAGCCTTATTAGCATGGCGCCATCTGCAAATGTGCAAGATGAAGCACACAAACAAACGGCCTCAGGTTTTTTAATGTTTTGAAATCAGATTACATCATATCTAGGGCCCAACCTTCATTTATTATGCCTGAGCGTGAAAATCTGAGGGAGATAATGACGCGTACCCAGCCGTACGCAGGTCTCCAAGGTGCCTTTAGTCGATAAAAAAATCTAGAGACGGCGGAATAGATCACATGCCCTCGATAAGGATTGACTCAAGAGGTTGGGAAGGTGAGCGGCGCAAACCTCTGGACCCGACAGGGATCTGGCTGGTTAGGGAAAATCCGACCTAACACGCGCCTTGGTACGTGACACCTCGAGCGCACCCTCGATGACCAGGACGTGGGATGCCGTTTCATGCCCCGCTCACCACCAGGTGTAATCGCGTTGGTGGGCGGTTGGGAATCGTAGCTCGAGATTGAGCGTGGAGAAACGTAGCGGGCACCTCGCGACACACCTCAGACAACAGGGGAGGAAGTGGAGGAGAAGATTTGAAAGGTGTCTTCGACCACTAACAGTGTGAGAGGAACGGTTGATTCAGACGATTGTTGTTTGCGGTTGACTGTCGCGAAGCTACAATCTGCAGTGTACATTAGAACTGGGCACCTCCACGCTAAACAGCAATCCAATTGATAAACAAGAATTGCAAACGTCACCGTGTCCCCAAATTGTGAAGCCTTGATCCGGATCTTTCCATTCCATATCTCGATTATTAACAGGAAGAGAGGGGCAAAGAAAGGCCAACGCTCGCAGAGCTGAAAACGCCTCCGATCTCAGGCATCCTGGGGTTTATTGTTCACATCGACGCGGGCCGTACGGCGACGGGTAGCACGACGATAGACAAGCTCCTCCTCGCCTTGGCGATGACAGGCCACACGAGCCAGAGTAAAGAGATAGTCGCTGAGCCGGTTGAGAAATTTAAGGGCAGCAGGTTGCACGGCCTGTACTTGTTGCAGCTCTACGGCCCGCCGCTCCGCGCGTCGACACACCTGTGCAGCGCCGTGATGAGCGAGCCCAATGGTACGGGCTACAACGCTGGCCGCGAGTATCGAGCTGTTCAAGGGCAGACGTCACGTACAGTTCGGGCAACGTGGAAGCTGGCCGAGGCCGGCCCGCCGCCAGGGAGAATAAAGTTCTTGAGCGGCGCGAGCTCTTCCTCGTGTGCGTCAATCAGGGCTTCGAGCTCGGTGACAAAGGCCTCATCCAAAGCGACGGCCTCTAAAATGAGCGAATTAAGCAAAGCAGGGGGTGGCAGCAGTCAGAAGAAACGGGTTGCCGTTCGGGGCCAGCCCGAATCCACGATTCACCGGACGTACTGCGCAGGTGCTCGGGGGTAGCATCATCGTCTGGCGTGACGAGGCAAGAGCTCACGTCCTGCAGGATGCACTGGATTCGTTGCAACTGCTCGTTGATGTCCTGCAAGGCTTGTTCGGAACGGATGCTGGCCATCGTTACGCTGCAACGCGTGTGCGGGTGAGAGAACGGCCGCGCTCCTGCGAGATTGGAGGGCGTGCGCTGCTGGCCTCACCCAAGGGCACTGGAGAGCTCGTCGACGGTTCCAACGGCCTCAAAGCACGGGTCATACTTGGGCCGGCGCTCGCCCGTCAGCAAAGCACTTGTACCTGCAAGACGCACCACCAGCACGCAGCATGAGCCCTCGTCTTCAGCGTGCCTGGTGCCGGAGGTCGCAGCTGGCGAAGAGACTTACCAGCATCGCCAGTGCGCGTGTAAATCTTGAAGCCAGCCCGAGACGCAAGTGGTAGCGCCGCGCGCAAGCTACACGCCGTACCACCACGCACAGCTCGGTGCCAGCTCATACCCATGCATCGGCGCACCAGCGCTGCCATTTTTTATGGTTTTTTTACGACACTGGTCCGCAATCGAATGCAGTCACGGTATTTCGCTAAAATGTCAGCAATTTATTCAGACCAACAAAAAACAACAAAACAACAAAACACCCGTCGAAGAACACAGCGAAAAAAAACCGTTGCAAACGGTTTTCGCTTAGGTCGTGCTTCTTCTTTGGCGGGAAGGATTTGTCGACAAAACTGAGCCTCAAAAGAGCTTGCATTTCTTCGCGGGACGTTGAAGCGCACACACGCAGCACAGAGCATCGACCGTCAGGAACAAGCAAGTGGGAGGTGATTGAAAGACCACCTGGAGAGGCGCTTGGCAGACAGATCACCGCCGACATGCCGCAACCGGCTGCAAAGAAGCCTAAGCAGATCAAGGACGAGAAGGGTGGGTACGCGTGGCCGACATCGGACAGCCAAGGGCATAAAAAAATAAAGCTGTTTTTGTTGGCGCTCACATCATGTGCTCAACCCGCATAGCTGCGTCCAAGATGCTGGAAGAATACTTGTTGCGCCAGAATCGCCCATACAATGCCAGTACGTGGAGATCTCACCACACACTCGACGCTCCGCTTCGGCGCACATCCACCGCATTGCTGCTGCGTTTGCTCAATGTGCTGCGCGGCGGTGCCCGCGCCGGTCTGGGTAGATGACCTCTTTGCCAACCTGCACGAAGCCATTAGCAAGACGGTATCTTTTACTCCCTGGTTCTCCAAAGTCTGAGCTTCTCGCACATGCTTTAGGTAGCTCATGCAACCCCCTGGCGCACGCAACCCCCTGTCCTACCTTTTTTTCTCTCCTCTCTCTCTGTGCTTGGAAGGTCGTGGGTCGTGCGCTGGCAGCATCGGCGGAAGCCGGTCGCCTGCGCGAAAAGACCTATGGCAAGCAAAAGATTTACTTTGTTCCTCAAACGGACATGGACAAGCTATCCAAGGACGAGCTTGACGCTTTGGATGAGGTAACAGCTGTCCCCGTCAAAACACAACCTCCGTACCGACTCTTGCTTACTCGCGATGATTTTTAAATCCCTCAGGAGCTCGACCAATTGCGAAAAACGCACATGGAACTGACTAGCACTGTCTCTGCCCTTGAAAGCGGTGTGCCATCCCTCCTGGTTCCCATCCTGCCTCCTAGTCCAGCTTCCAGTCTTTTTTTTTTTTTTTTAAACAAAGACCTTCTTCATGTCTTGCACTCTCTTTGTAGAGTTGTCCAAAACCCTGGCCGAACCAACCACAGACGAGGCCGACAAAACCCTGGCTGAGCTGCAGGCCGAGGTTTGGTCGCCTTTTGAGTCTTACAGTCAAGGTGCATCTTCTCCCCCCTGAATCATAACCATGTGTTGTTTGTGCGCTGCACTCAGATCATGCGCAAGCAAGCCAAGTTGAAGGGTCTGCGCGATGATGGCGAGACCATGACCGAAGCTGATCGTAAGCGCATCAATGACAAATATACCAAGTTTCTCGTTGAGTGGAAGAAACGACGCCGTCTGGTACGCCTGAAGAATGCCCGCTGCCAGCAATCTCTTTGTTTTGTCTCTCCATAAGCTCACCCAAGAATTAATCTTCATCGTCCGCAGGCACGGGACATTCTGGACCAGATTCTGGAGGGCTACCCCAAACCCAAAAAGCAACTTTACGTGCGTACCTCCGTGCTGCTCCTCCTGCGTAATTTTGGCAGTCTGGGCGGAAACGACAAGCGGCCTGCTCTCATCTAGTGTGCTGGTTGACGGGGAGCCACAGGAAGCCGTTGGCATTGAGACAGACGAAGAGTGCAAGGTGGACATCTCGACGTTTGAAAGCGTCTAGGGCTCTCACTCAAGAGTCATCATGGGCTGTGCCCGCTTATTCGTGAATGCGTGCGTGCGTGTGTGGGTCAGTGACTGGTTGATGTGTATGGCAGAAAATTGAGCGTGTCCCAACTCCCACCTGTTATGTCCCAACTCCCACCTGTTACGTTTCAATCCATATCGAGGGGGTGCGTGAGTGGCCAGAGAGTGTGATGCAGCTTCGAATGCAGCTTTAATTGTGATGCAGAGTTCGACGGCGCGAATTAAAAAAAAAAGAGGGGAGATCGCTTAAAAGGAAATCGAAAAAAAAGCAAAGTGTCGAAACAGGTTTCCGGCCTTGAGCACAAGCGATTTGAATGCCGGTGCCTCTAGGCATTGGCATCAGTCGTGTACGCGGCAAAATCGCCGCCGTCAGAAAAACCTCGAAATTCATCGTCAACAACCACGTGCATGTGTCCTTGGAAGGAACTTGGAGGCATGCCGGCACGTCCACTCTGCGCGCCACTCTCGGGGGTCATGTAGGCTTCAAAGTCACCAGATGATGATGGGTCCAATCCACCCGCGTTGGGTTGGTCGTAGGTATCAGTGAGCCCCATTGCATTGGACTGGTTGTACTCGTATGCATGACCAAAGGTTGGATTCTCATTCAAGCTCAACACTTGTGGGTTGCTATAGTCCCCCATGACAGGCCCTGTCGCTGGTGATGAAAACGCCCTGCGTAGGATGCCAGCAAGTGAGGAAGAGCGACAGCTGTCAAAGAGCATCTAGCAAAGCACGCCACGCCCACGGCCCCAATCGCACGTACGGCTGAGTGAGAAGGGTATCGTTGTCGTAGTTGCTGGTAGTTGTAACGGGCGATACAGGCCCCACGTCGCCCGCCGTTGCTACATCATAATTGGCCAATCCGTCGTTGCCTATGATACCATCGCCACATCGCCGCCAAGCGTCGTTTGCAGCATCATCCCAAGGTCGTAAAACAAGTGCGAAAGCAAACAAACAGCGAAAGAGGCGCATACGGCAGCAAAAACATGGTCATCGCCTCCCGGTAGAAACGTACGGGTAGGTGCCAGGTAACCCCCTGCATCTTGCGACAAACGAGGGCTAGAGGTGGAAGCCGCAAGCTCCTCCCATTTGACGACTACATACGCAGCCACAAGACATCAATCAAAAACAAAAGTCTCAGGCAAGACTTGTTTGGGCGAGCTGGTAGAGCCCGCACCTTGCAAGGGTTCGTGTGCCTCGAGCTGCTGTAAGAAATTGGCCATCACATCCACGAGACGCTCAAAGCTCGGTCGCTCACGGCGGGCATACTTCCAACATTTGAGCATCACATCGTACACGGGCCATGGGCAGCGGGGGGGCTTGGGCATGCGTTCGCCGCGCTCGATGCTTTGCACGACTTCCAAGTTGCTCTTGTTGCCATAAGGTCGCGCGCCCTTACCCTGCAACCGCGGGCAGCAGCACACAAGCTTCAGTTCACAAAAGTAGCCTTGATCCGCACTCCCATACACACGAGGCAGTCTCATTGGTTGACAAGACGCACCCAGATCTCGGACAACACCACGCCAAACGACCAAACATCCGAGGAAGTGGTGTATTTCCTAATAAAAAAAAAAGGCAAAGTTGGCACAACAAGCAGAGCCAGCACAACCAAGTCCATGGCTTGCATGAGACCTCACCCGGGTGATACCTCAACAAACCAACGCACAGCCTCGGTGGTGGTGGGAGGAGGGCGTACCGTTCAGCAACAGCCTCTGGCGCTGTCCAGCGAATGGGAATTTTACCAGCATCTGCCCGAAAATCTATTTGTTTGCAACCACACAATAAGACAAGGGGCAAGCCCACAGCCCAGGGCAAGACGAGCGCGTGCACGCAGCGCGTAAATCTGTCGTACATTCACCGTCGTCAATCTCCTTGGACAGGCCAAAATCAGCTACCGAGCACTAAAAGAAGTAGTTGAAAAAACAACAAATATGAGCCCATGCTTTATCAAAGCGGACTGTAGAATGCGACCAGGCACCTCTAACCTTGAGATCATGATTCACCAAGATGTTCCGTGCAGCCAAGTCACTGTCATGCAAAAGAGAAATGCATACAATAACATGAGGCGGACAATCTCTCCGCGCCTTGATAAGCAGAACGCGGCACATACCGATGCACAAAGCCCTTTCGGCTCAAGTATTGCATGCCCAGCGCAATGTCCAGGGCCATTTGGAGCAAAAGGTCATCGCTGGGTAAGTCGGGTTGGTCGCTCAAGTATCCCAAAAGGCTGCCATTGGACATGAGCTCCGTCAGAATCCTGGATTTGAAACATCATCGCAAAAGGGGGTCAGCCACACCTCAGTCCACAGAGCGACAAACGAGCGGCTCAGCAAGATGCAACGTACATGTTAGGGGACTGGTCAACAACGTAGGCTGTGAGGCCCAAGACATTGGGATGATTGAATTGCGCCATAATGGCGGCCTCCTTCAAAAAATCCAGCTTGTCCTTTTGGTCTGACCCGGCACGCAACGTTTTGACGGCACAATCCAGCTGAAGCGTTGCAGAAACAGCGTGCATACATTTGCATGAGCCATCAGCGATGCTATGGTACGGCCCTCGTCAACGGTGCAGGCTGAGTGAAGCAAGTGTAGGTAAATATCCAACCTTGGATCCATCAGCAAAAGTGGCTGTGGCCACGTAGACTTCACCAAATTCGCCAGCCCCAATACAGTCGCGCAACTGCACGCTCTGTGTGGCGAGCTCAGTCGCTTCACTTCGGGTGAGAAGCGCCACAATTTCACCCGCATCCGAGTAATGGGTGGGGTCCTGCCAACACAGAACGTGAGCCCAAGAGCCAAAAGTCACACGGGTACCGCAAAACGAGCAGCGTTGGCAACAAAAGACGGGTCGGAGTGGGCTCAAGAGCCCCAACTATTGCGGTCAGTCGTGCAGGTCGCGCGGAACCTTGTATATTTCAAAAACACGTCAGACGCGAAGGTCAAACTTGCCTGATAGAGGGCTGTGTCGGTCGCCTGGAACTGCTTGCGCACATAAGTGCTAGCATGGTACCCATTGTTGCCACGAATCTGCTTCTGACTGCTGCGTAGGGCACGAAGCGAGTGGCCGCCAGTCGCGCCCAGACCCGCAAGGGCTCGCTGCTTGTCTTGGCGACGGCGAAAAAGGAAGAGGCCCAGAAGGAGGATCAAGGCCACGCCCGCCAAAGCACCCACGATGGCACCTACGACAGCACCGGTGTCGCCGCCGCTGCCGCTACTGCCGGCCTGCGAGGGGCTCGTGGTTTGCCCACCGGGCTGGGTCGTTGGGCTTTTCGTGGTCAAAATGGCGGCACATAGGCCAGCCGCATCGACGGTCCAGTCGCCTGTGATGTTGCAGGTTATTTCGTCGAGAAACTACGCAAAAACAAGGCCGAGGAGAAAGGGTTTTGGCCCACGATGAGTCGAGTCGAGTCGAGTCCTGCCTGAGCACGGCCACGAGTCGTTGGCTTCCTGGATGAGTGTTTCACGTACTTGGTCACTGGTGATGACAACTTCCTCAGCAGAGCCGGAGATGCAAGCGGGATCAACAGGAGTCATGCCGGCAAAGGTCACGGGAAGGCGTAGCTCTCCTTGGAGCACAGTGCCGCAGCGAGGCTCGACAACCACAAAGTCCGTCACGGTCAAGGAAGATGAGTCGGGGCTCCATAAGATGACGGCAATATAGCCTGTTTCCTGATTGCCAGCGGTGTGATCCAGCGAGCAGCTGAGGACCAAGTCATAGTCTACCTGTCCGACACGTAGGTCTGTGACAAGCGAGCAGTCTGACACGCCGTTTGGAAGGGTCTCAGGCGGCTGGCTGGCAGCTTGGATGGCCACGGTCAGGGTCTCCACCGAGTGAGAGGCCAGAGCCTGTGCTAGACCAGCGCCGTTTAGACCAAAGTACACATGATCAGCCTCGGTTTCAGGCACAAACACGGGCGAAGTGATGCCGTAAAAGGAGAGCGATGTTTTTAGATTGATTGCCACGAGGCGATCGTCGTCTGTCTCAAAGCAGCCAGTCGTGCTCGACCCTACACAGTGCAAGTGGAGCATGAGTGCAAGCCCACAGACGGGTATTGTACCATGAGCCGGCTTGTCAAGGATCAAAGTCAGAAGAGGTCTCTTTCGTACCGATGGTGAGGCATCGCCAATTGACAATGTTGAGGTCCATGAGGTCGGTGTAAATGCTGGCATCAGCAGCCCCAGCTGGGGAAACTCGGGAGACCAGGCATATAGCTAGCACCGAGAGAAACACGGCCCCAGAAAGCCGTGGCTCGACCGCACCAGCTTTGCGCGGTGACTGCAACATAGTGGTGGCAGACTTGAACTTTTGCTGCAGATCGGGCAAGTATCAGCCCTTGCACTGGCTGCGACCCACCCCCTCTCAGCCGTCAGCAGGGGGGTGGGGCAAGGGCGAACTGAGCCAACACGGGGCCGAGCGTCAAGCGCTGCGCGCTAGCACAAACCGATCCAAGCAGAACAAGCAGGAGACACGATAGGAATAGGAGAGCGGCAAGAGGGCGCAGGAGGGAGGAGGAGGGAGGAGGGAGGGAGGGAGGGAGGGAGACTCGAGGCGCGACGACGAGCGGGCGCAGCGAGGAAATGCAATCAACGAAACCAGTGAGATGTTTAATTTATTTTCCCCTTTTTGCCTCTAAAGTCCAGTCTGGACGATTTTGATTTATGGCTTTTTTCGCTTTTTTTTCGCTTTTTTTTCACTTTTTTTTTTTTTTTCGCTCTTGTTATTATTATCTCCTTCCTCCTTGCTTCCGTTCTCCTCCTTGCTTCCTCTTTCTCCATGATATCTCAGTCCCTCTATCTCTGTTCCTTTCACTCTTCCTCTCGTTCGGTCCTCACTCTTGCAAACAAGATCCATTCAGCATCTTGGGAGCTGGGCGAGGCCATTTTTCCAGGTTACAAAAGAGCGACAGTGGTTTGAAATCAGATTCGCTGAGTCGTTAGAGTGTGCAAAGCCCCAAGCTTTCATCGTGTCAAGTTGTGAAAGATGGAACTTTCCATCCCGATCCCTGAGCACAACTTGATAGCGTGCGTGTGGCTGGTGACGGTTGTTGAAGGACCAGAGCAGAGACAAAAGAGGTGGATAGATTCAATTGATGATCAGGCCCCGGTAGTTGGCACGGTCTAAGACTGGCCGATGAAAAGGGACCCAGCTACCCATCGCTGGGCACGATCTAGAGGGAGTTTACTGCTGAGCAGCAATCTCAACCGACTTGGCAAGGCACTCGCGGGCATCGAGGTCCTCAAGGAGGTCAAAGAGGGAGCTCTTGCCACCAGCAAACTTGACCTGAGGATCATCGCGCCATTCGTTGGCCATGGGGGCGGGAATGCCCGAGGCCAGCATGGCCTTGCCGAAACCGTCTTCGCTGATGGTGGCACCAACCCAGTTGACGCGCTCAGCCATGGCCTCGAAGGGAGAAGCAGACGCGTGCACACCTACAGACGACAAAGGCCAGCCAAGCACGTGTCAAAGATCGGCAGATGAACAAACGCAGGACCAAAAAAACAAACAAACAAACAAAAAAAAAAAACGGGTGAGCTGACTAGGGGGCATTGGGCAGAGCACTGGGGGACGGGGCGGGGGACGTACCGTTGTCACCGACGTTGGGCTCGGAGCTGAGGCCCAGCGCACGCCAGTTGTCAAAGATGTGACGACGCACCGAGGACTTGTCAGCCGTCTTGGGATCAGTAGCGCCAAGAACCTTGCCGCGGAAGTCAGCCCAGGAAAGGGTGTCGGGGTTCCATTCGACGGTAAAGTAGTGGATGGAGGAGCCGGGGCGCACGTAAGCCTCGCGCATGCTCATGTAGAAACCGTTGATCACATAGACGTCCTTTTCAACCTGACCGCAGTAAAAGCCACCGCCAAACTTGATGAGGTTGACATCGCGCTTGAGGCCAGCCCACTTCTTGTCAAGGTCCGATCCGGTAATGCCGAGCTTTTGGCAAGCACCAGCAGCGTTGTACACCTTGCCCTTGCCAATGACATCGGTCCAGGACTCGCCAAAAGCCTTCTGGAACTTTTCCTGACCAGACGAGGGGACGTTGAGCTCCTTGGGCTGCAGCTTGACGGCCTTGCTGGCGATGGCACCGTAGTGCTACACAACGAGGAAGAAAGCGCGGGTTGAATGAGCGGGGCAGGTTGAGGGTTGGCGTGCATGGAAGGCAGGGACTGCCGGGTGCCGGTATGAGCGAGCGTACATTGTCGATCAACATCTTCTCGTCAATGACGTTGGCCTCGAGCGCACCCTCGCTGGTGATGGAGATGCCGGCCTCGGCAAGCTTTTGCTTGACAACGTCCACCACCTTGTCATTCACTGTCACACAAATGCGCCCAAACGGCGCAACAGGCGGTCAGCCAGCCGATGAACAAAGGCAAGTCGGTCGTCCCAAGGGAGCGAGGAAGCACGTGACCCAGAAAGCGAGCAGTCTCAGAAGCCAAGTCGAGAACGATCGCCAGGCAGATCACCAGGCAAGTGACCAACAGGATGGACCAGCGTGAGGGAGAACGTACCGGCATGGGGCTTGACAAAGACAAAGGCGCGGTTGCGGTTGTTGGAGAGCTCAACCTCAATCTGCGCGACGCGCTTCTCGAGGGCCGAGTCGCTGGACGCGACCGTGATGGTCTGCTGGCTGAGCAGGTAGGCCACGGCCACACCGGCACCACCCATAAAAGCCAGGGACGCCCAGGTGTTGGTGGTTGAGGCCGTACGGCCCGTGGAAGCAGCCCGGCGGGCCACCACGGCCGAACGGCCCAGTCCACGACCGGCTGCCAAAACACTTCGCATCGCCATCTCACTGGAAGCACACAGAGAAGAGAGAAAGGGAGGAAGTAAGTGGCCCGCTACCACTTTAAATTTAGTCTAAACCTGTTTGTACAAGAAATCATAGTGGTATTTCTGTAAGGTTCTTGTCATTCTTTTGCGTGCTGTGGAATTCAGCTTTTTTCTTTTTTCCCTTTTGTGCGTATGGTGTGATGTCAGACAAAATACCCGACGAGCCGACGCGCAAGCGCCAGCAAGCTGAAATACCAAACGCAAAGCCGTTTCTTGGTAACACGCAACAACGGCCGTGTCTGACACTTGGTAATCCTAGCATATGCTACCATCTGTCAGTGCACGACAAAGAAGCAAATTCTTTTGTTTCAGAGAGTGCGCACATTGTTGCTGGGTCACGGTGGGTAATTACCTTTGAAAGCGTGCGAACTTCAGAGAGACGTCACACTCTCGGAATTGCATTTGGCAAAAAGGTGAAGCCCACGTTCTAGATGTGTGTGTGTGTGTGTGTGTGTGTGAAATGGCAGCGCTTGCGGATGTGTGTGTGTGTGTGTGACACTGGAATCAGAGGCAGCGGGCAGAGGTCTGTGCCACTGGATCATGGCGTGCGCGGGGAGGGGCGACACTGACTGGTCGTTTTCATTGACGGCCGGTACACTCTATCTGTTGAGGGGCAGACTGTTGGATACAAGGGGATCACATGGAGTGTGCGGCGCTGTCGGTTAGAGAGAGAGAGGGACGCGCGTGCTTTGCTCTTGATCTCGTTGGATCTGCCGTCTTGACTCGATGTGTTCAGGTGGACCGGTCGGGCAGCACGTAGCGTACGGGGAGGTCTTGGAAGTCAGGGGGGCGGTCAGGGATCATCTTGTTTTGTTGGGGGAGGTCATTGTTTGGTGATGTGTTGTTGGCCTGCCATTTTGCTGTTCCGTCGTGGTCTTGCCTCAGGTTCCGCTCGCTGCTCCATCTGGTGTCATTGGCTCGTGGCTCATGGAAAGTTACCCTGCTAATGTGCTCCTGTTTGGCCTGTTGGTTGCCGGCGTTGTAGAGGTCTCCCGTGCCATTGCCCGCTCCACCCTTTGTCGCCCCTCCAAGGTCCATTTTTCTCAATCGTCTGTGACGATCGAAAGGCCGCCACGATGGGTAAAAAGTCAGGTGTGTCACATCAGCCTGAGAGTGGTGGGGTTCACTTTTGCGTTTCCTTGGACGTAGTCGCCATTGGTCTTTCCTGCAGCATTGGTCTCTCCTGCCCAATCGCTTGCGCAGCGAGTTTGCAAAGACCATGACAGTCACCGGTCTCATCTCTCCCTTGCCTGGTTTCTCAATTGGCAGGACCCACCATTGGCAGTGCTGCCACTCCCATGATCTCAGCGGCTGGCAAAGATCATGTCATTTTCAGCAAGAAGCTGCTTCTCTCCATCGGTGAGGCACCCCCGCTCTTCTTTTTGACCCACCAGCCTCGATATCAACTCGCATTCTGTGCTCGGCTTTTTCTCACTTTTTTCGGCTCCTCCATCTGGCCACCTGCAGCTGTTGTGCTGGGCATGACCATGTTTCTGTTCTTCACCATTGAACAGTCACGGATCGCCGGCAATCTGGCCAAGTCCCGCGCTGCCATGGCCCAGGCCAACAGCATCAAGGATGCCAACTCAATGCTCGAAAAGTCAAAGAGCGAACTCGAGGACGAAGAAACCGAGTACGTCTCCCAATCCAAATCAGCCAGCGTCGTGCGCGCAAAGCCGCCAGCTTGCAAAATATGATCGCTCCGACTCATCAAGCGACCCCATGTTTGCAGACTGGTCAACCTGTATTCGCAGTGGCTGGACGAGGATTCATCTGAACTGGAAATTTCCCAGGAACAGCTGGCCGAACTTAAGCAGCAACTCAAGGACGTGACCGAGCAGATTAGTGCGCATAGCTCCCAGCTGTCCAACAAGGACACGACCCTGGCCGACAAGGAGCAGCGTTTGGCCCAGTTCCAGTTTAAGATTCAGCAGAAGCAAAAGTACATTGACGAGCTGGCCGTGCTGATTGAGCAGGCCACTGGCAAGGCCCCGAAGGGCACCGGCATTGATGAGTCGGTCACGGATGATCTCATCTGGGACGATGAATATGGAAACTACGATGACTTTTATGATGAGTACTTCACTGGCGATGATGATATCGAATGGTAAACGTGGCTGCGCCGCGCCATCCATCGACCTGCTCGCCCGTGACTTTGCGCGCTCCGACTCTGGCTTCCACTCGCGCCGAGGTCACCTGTGACGCATCATGGTGTCTGCATCTATTCTCGTTATGTGTGTTTTTTTTTTTTCATCTCCCCCCTCCGCTCTTCTTCTCAATTTCCCTTTTTCTCTTAACCTCTGAATGTATTTTCGCTTCATTTTTTCTGGCTTGCTTTGTCTGCGGGGGGGACATATTCAAGTCGGGCGCTGTCTGGATGATGAGCGTTTGGTGGTATTGGTGTCGTCCTTTGTTTTGCATGCTTGCACGTATGTGCCATCGGCGCGCAGCGTGCTGTGCATCCTTTGTGAGAAGCGATGGGTCTTGGTTGGCCATCATGGGGTCCTTGAAGGCTTGCCCCACAATGTGCTTTGTTTGGCTGTGATATCCGACGGCCTTTTGTACCGACCTCCCTCTCTACAAACTCAAAAGAAAGAAAACCAAGTCTTGTTCTTCTCCAGTTCGTTTCAATCCATTATCAGGCTTTTCAAGCGTTATGCCTTTCCTGCCCTTGACGTGATCCACTAGTTAACGGCTTCGATTTTTCACCATGATTGCAAGACAACAGACCCTGCTACGGGCGGTTGCGAGGGGCGAGCTTTACCATGCTTTTCACCCACATACCAACACTCACACACAAAAAAAGAGAGCAGAACAAAAAACCAGGAAACATGCTTGCGCTGCTCGCGCGGCGCGGCCAACAACACGCGCAATAGGAGTGCCAAATCACGGCCTTCAACTATAAACATGCAAGGAAAATTAAGGAAACAAACACCGAACAAACACATCGCCACAGGCACTCGATCCCTGTCTACTGGCGCAATGATCCCGACGGCGACGCGTTTGTCGGTTGATCCGGGGTGAGCTCGTGTGACACGTGCTCAGAAATACGAAGACAGCACCGCAGAGAGTGAGCATGCTGCGTGTGATCCTCCTACGCACAGTCGAGCGGATCGCGGTGAGTGCTCTTTCCATCAGCCAAAGACACGGCTGTCAAAGCACAAATGCCCCGCGTCATTGTAGGCGCGTACGTACCACCAACAGCTGAAGGCTCGGGTAGATGTGGTTCAAGTCGCGGTCCAGGTGATACCCTTGATTCAGGAGCTTACTGCGCGTTGCTCGCGATAGCGGCTCATCCAACACCTTGCTTTGGAACAAATACGAGAGAATGTAGTGTCCTGTACGTTCTGGATCATCGCGAATCACAAAGTACCCCGTCTTCTGCCCCTCCAAGACCTGCATGGCGACAATGCTCCGTGAGTGTCTCCCTAAGCTTGCTCAAACTCAAGTCATTGGCTGCCTGTCTGCATTCTGCAACGAATGAGCGTACCTGTAAGGCTTCATCGGCTGGTTTGCCCAGCTGCCACCAGGAAAACTGAGCGCCTGGTCCTGAGGTCTTGCGAGACATTCGCGGGCTCATCATGCGGTTCAGGCGCGTGTTGACGGGCGGCCAACGCAAATGCAAGTCTGAAGTAGAGTCGCTAGCACCCCCCTTCAGCAGTGCCACGAGTAGTGCTTCAATGCTCGAAAACGTGGAATCGCCGTCATTGGCCAGGGTCAGGCCCGCATGTCCGCTCTGCAGTGAGAAATTGATGGGCACGTGCTGCAAGCCATCCTCTTCCAACACGGTCAAGACCAAGACCACGTCTGTCCCGCCCGGTAGCGCCTCGTCTTCAGGTTCGGGCGTGCGAACCACAAAGGTGCCGGGTGGACGTCGATCCAACTCTTGCAGCGCCTGGTGTGCTGGGAGGCCCACCTGACACCAGGTCCAATCCACGGGCGTATCGCTGGGAAGGATCGAGGGCATCTCTTGGTGGAGCAAGGAGGACACGGAGACACGCAGCGCACAGCGCAACGTGCCGCTCCGGTCCTCATGCTGCGTCACCAAGTCCCATAGGGTTGGATACACCTGCATTGGATTGGTGCGCAGGGCAAATCCGTGCTTGCCGCCCACGCGGCCACGGATGATATCTTCCTCAACCACCTCGTTCTGGAAGCGATATGCCAGTCGGAAGAGGTCCTTGCTTGCCTGATACACCAAGAAAGCCCCTTGTCCTCGGCTGCGCAGCTGATACAACGCCCGAGCTGGGTTGAGGCCCACCTGTGGAAAACATTCCACGGAGAGCAAAGATCCAAACCACGAGTCAGACAGGCCACTGGCAAGCCGCCGTGGCCACAAGAGCACACTGCAAACAATAGAAGGCAAAACTAAACAACACAGGCGGGCTAGGACGAAGCTCGGTAGCGCCGACTGACCTGCAGCCATGATCGGCCAAGAGGCACCTCGCTCATTGAGCGAGTAAAGGAGCTGCTGGCAGCCGTCAGCCGAACCTCTTCCTCGGGATGGCGAGACACGACCAACGGACATGCCAGCATGGCGTGACGTTCCACCACCGCCGCAACCAAGTCGTTCAACGTGTCGCAAGCCTGAGTCAGCGCGAGGACACGAGGTGATAGTAGGGTGAGCCATGCACGACCATGTACAGTTCATCAGTGTCGTGGTTCTACATGAGGCAGAACAACAATACGCTTGCGCCGCGCCTGGCAGTTTGATTCGCTCTCCTCCCTCACCCCAAGCTCCTCGATCGCATGGCTCGTCTACCCTTGCTCACTCTCCCGATCGAGCAAAAGCCGCCGTGCCCCCCTCCCCCCCAAACTTTGCTCCATCTCTTACCACGGTGGGGTGGTTGACCAGATGCACCAGCATGCGGCCGTTTTTTACAGCCACGTCGATGAGCTCGCGCTTCACCCCGTGCGTATCTCGATACAATAAAACCAGCGGCAACTCCCGGTCCGTGAGTTCATGCACGATGACAAAGGCACCCACGCGCCGGCTTTGCAAGACCTCGGTTGCCTGAGCCTCGCTCCACTCTGGCTGCCACCAGACCAAGGGGGCCTCAGACTTGCTAGACCGACGAATCTGCGATTGAATGTCCTCCTGCACCTCGGGCAGCCGCAACATGACCGGAATGTCACCGGTCGGCCGCCCATAGAGTGCCACCAGCTTAGCCAAGGTGGGGGCACTCTGTGTCGATGGCTGACCATCAGCTCGAACCAACCGGAACACCTGCTCGGCCTTGTCATACATGATGGCATACTGGGCGACCTCAGTCCCTTGCTGGACCACCAACTGCCACTCGTTGGCCCGTGGTTGAGTCACGAAGAAACTGCCCGGAGAACGGTCGTGGAGCAAGGTCACAGCGTCAAAGCCACGGTCAGCGGTGCGATTCCATCGAGCACGCTGCTCCAGGCTGAGCTCGCGTGAAAAGCTCGCGTTTTGGAGATCGCTCGTGTCGATGGCATGTAGTCGGGCTTCTGTCGAGGCTGCGTCCAAAGCAGCCGTCACATCAGCATCGCAATGCTCTGGGTTTGCGTAGTGCTCAAGCAGGTCCGTGAAAGATGCAAATGCATGACCGCCACGCGTGGTGACCTGACCAGGCCGGTCATAGGAGAGCTGCGGCGAGCGGACGGCGCCATGCTCGTTCACATATGAGAGTTGCAGCATCTGGCTGTTGGCCGCTTGATGGACCAAAAAGTGACCAGGCGTGGCGCCCGTCAAGAGCTGCTGCGCGCGGTGTGGTTGCATATCTGGTCGCGCCCAGCCCGCTGACAGGTCCAAGAGGTCCTCAATATGCTGCTGCTGCTGCTGCTGCTGCTGCTGCTGCTGCTGCTGCTGCTGCTGCTGCTGAGGCGGCACGGGTGCAGCCGGCACTGAAGGCGCTGCGGCAGATTCTGAGGACTTGACTCCAGCAGTTTCAGCCACCTCCCCGACTGCCTCGTCATCCGTGTCCAGGGCAGGGCGACGCAGGACTGAACCACCGCGGGAGGCTGGGTCGCTCTTGCGCAGGCGTGCTATTTCCGTCATCAGAATGGCACGCGCGCGTCCGTCCAAGATCCCCATGGTTGTCAAATCATCCGGCGAGAGACGCTGCAGGGAGGGGCCGGATATGGAGTTGTTGAGAAACACGCTTCTCAGGTGCCCCATGGCAATGCCCTCCAACCACTGTCCAACGTCATTCATGGACCAGTGCGATACGCTGGCATTGAGTTTTTCAGGCGAGAAAAAGTCGGCCCGTGCCGCAACTGAGGGACGGCGGCGGCGCTTTGTCAAGCGTCCAATGGCATCCAGCAGCCGCCGCGCCGTGTCCTCCGTGATGCGAGACTCGAAAATGTTGGCAAGGTCTTCCTCCGTCAGCTCCAGGAGCAATGGGCCACACACGCCGAGCTTGCCAATGTGCTCCATGAGCGCCACGAAATCGTTCGCCTCAAGCCATTGCAGAACGTCTTCCACGGTCCACAGCTGGGGTGGGCCCTGGGAGCCAGAACGCTTGGCTGCACGCTTCAACAGGTCCAACGAAGTGAACAAAGCCGTCTGATGGGCAGCATGATGCACTCCAATTTGGTAGCACCGAACAGCTGTCAGCTCCAGCAAAGCAGCCCCATCGATGCCGTTGCTCTGAAAGCGCGTGCTCAAGCTCGCCAGTCCCTGGCGACGCAACCACGCGCACACTTGGTCCACGTCCCAGCTGGAGAGGTTCAGCAACAATGGGTAGGACATGACCTCGACCATTCGTTCCACGGCGTTGAGGCACGTGTTTTGATCCTCCTCGTTCTCCATGCCCAGCGTGATGAGCTTGGCGCGAGTGAGCAGGACCAGATCAATTCCCGTGATCTGTCGTCGCTGAAAGTCGGGGTTGTACTTGCCCAGGCCATGGGACAAAAGCCACAGCTCAACATCGGGCACCCCCATGCGCCACGGAGCAGATTTGAGGCCATGCTCAATTCCCTGGCGCTGGCTCATTTCCAAACTCAACACGTCAATGTTCTTCAGGACCAGGCCAGCCCCAGCCTCGTCCAAACCGAGCGCAGAGAGCCGCTCCAAGTCCACCGCCAGGAGGGCAGGACCGTCCACATTTGCCTCGAAAAAGGTCAGACAGTACTGGCCACAACCCTGCACATAGAGCCAGTCAACGACCTGGGAACAGGGCCACAGAGCTGCATTATCCAGCTTGAGAGAGCCAGCCGATACCTGCTGGCGCAATGCCTGGCGCTGCGTCGAGGCATGCGTCGGGCTATTTTGGCCCTGGCTGGAACCACCGCGCGCAGCGTTGCCTCGGAGTGAGCTGCTCATGCGACGCTGGCCTGCAGCTTGGCGCCGCAGCTCTGCGATATGCTCCAAAAGCTCGACCTGCTCGGAAGGGTCACGAATGCCGAGCTTGAGGAGGTCTTCGTGGCTGTCCATGTGCATAAATTCGTCACCCGTCACCTTGCGTCGCAAGTTGGGACACAGATGACCAAAGCCCTCAGCTTCAAGCCAGGCCTTGACCTCTGGGAAAGACCAGCTACGAGCATTGCGCGCCATGGGGCGCTCTTGCGTGCTCAGCTGCTGGATGCGAAGCAAAAGGTCGTGTCGCCGCTCCGCTGGTACACCCAGGTCATCCATGTGGGCGTTGGACAGACGGCACAAAGCTGGACCATCAATGCGTTTGCGCGCAAAAGTCTTCTTGACAATGCCACACTCGACCTGGTCCAGCCAGTCGGCCACATCACTGACGGTCCAGCTGGCCACAAAGGGCAGAGGGAAGGTCTGCTGCAGTGCACGAATCATCTCCGCAGCATGCAAACGCTCGGCCACGTCAGATTCCACCTCTTCCAGATCCTCAGGAACATGCATCCGCAACAGCTGCAAGCCCGTCAGCTTCTTGCGCTTGGCCATCTTGCCAAACCGCGCCAAGCGACCCTCCTCGAACCAGGCACAGACCTACGCCAACAGCACAGACAGTGATGTGGGGGGTTAGAAAAGCCACAACATGGTTCCAACCAATCCACATTTGGGAATCTGCCCTATCTTGCCCTGGCTTGGCCTAGCCGCTTAGCCCGACAGTGATTTCCCTTCAGGTCTGACAGTGGCTCCCCTGAAGACGGAAGAGTTAAGACGTACTCGACTCGCATTCCAATACATGGGATGATCATGGTCCACTCCAAAGGTGGCAATCATGGGCGGGTCAGCCTGCCAGGCCATGCACAGCCATAAAGATTAGAAAAAGCAAGCACCAGCTGCGACTGATATCAAGTCACTGTCGCCCGTGTAGTCAAATAAGACGCACCGCATCAGATTCGTTGGCTTGGTCACTCGAGCTCACCACGGATGCCGTGCGCACCAATGATGCCACACGAGCCCGCGTACCTGCACCCATGCCACGCTATATATGTATAAAAAATATAATAAAAAAGGAAAAAGAAGAAACAGGCCCCCGTTGAATAAAAAATGAGTACGCCTTCTCGCACATCAAGGACAATGCCGCGTGGGTTGGCTTACCTTGAGCGCTGAGTCAGTGATGCTCACAATGTCCTCCATATCACTGGCCATGGCGCTGTGACGACCCCCGTGGACGGGAGAGAGCCCATGTTCTAGACTTGGCGGCGTGGAGCGGCGGCGCTCGCGGGCTTCTGCTTCTTGCAGCTCCAAGACGCGACGTGGATCCACAAAGTCGCCTCGAGGGGTGGCATATGGGAGGCTTGACCGTCGGTCCGAGGGGGTATCCTGTGGGTCGACGTGCTTGAGCGTCACCTCGGGTCGATTGTCAGCGGCACCGGTAGGTCGGGCGGCCTGACGCCGGCCACGCGCCCCTGTGATGGATCGCGTGCCACCGGAGCCTGACGTCATGGAGCGTGAGCTGATTCGCTTGCTTCGGGTGGACGAGAGACGAGACTGCAGCAAGGTCAACTCCCGAGGTAGCTATATGCACGTTCCACAATGACACAAGTGAGAGCTTGGGCAAACCATCTTGCAGTGCGCTTTGATGTCCCAAAAAAAAATAAAAATTGAAGACACACCTCCACAGGGCGGCGAATGCGCAGCATCAGCTCCGACTTGCAGCGCTATAGAGCAGGTTGATGGTTGGGTGAGATGTGGCGCAGAGCTGTTTATTAGTCTCAGCTCCAATCTTGCCGCGAGCTGACCTTGATCAAGCTGCGCAGATGATCCAGAGAGCTTTGATCAATGTAGCGGCCGTTGACTGAGATGATTTCATCGCCTGGCTGAAGCTTGTCATGCGCCGCGCCATTCGGGGTCACCATGGTGACGAGGTATGCTTTCGAGACGTCATGGCCCTCCCCTCCACCAACGTGAAAGCCAAAGCGACCATTCACATCTGGCCATTTCAATGCACATGAACAGACGGGAGGATGAGAGGAGAATGGCTCGTTTTGGCGTTTCTGAGCACGCACGAGCCGGCGAGAGAAGAGCGAGGGTGGGTGGGCAGATGGTTGGTTGGACTGACCGCGATACAGAGTAACGTCAAACTCCTCGACTGGCGGGCGCTTCAGCTGTCGGTCGTGCTCGTATTGTGAGCGGTCCCAAAGCACCTGAAGCTCTTCCCGCAAGATCTCCAGGTCCGTTTGATCCACAATGTCCATGGCATCCAGGTCTTCATGCTGCAATGTCAGCAGCCTAATGGGGATGGTGTCAACGACGTCCCCATGGCGAGCAGCCAGTTTGAGACGGGATTGATCCGGTCACCAGCCATTGATGTCAACATCATACAAGCAGTACAGAAGCAAGGCACGCACTTGGGTCCATCCACGTCAAACTGCCGCATGACGGGCGCAATGTGCTGTAGATCTATGGCTTCGAGCCAGGTCGAGACATCCTCTGGAGTCCACAGGAGCACCATTTGGGAGGGAAAGCCCTGGCGATAATACAAGTGACTGGGGCTCTCTTCTTCGCGGCCGTGTGGTGAGGAGTTCAGAAGCTTGGCGGCAATCTCCATCAAGTGTTGTTGCTCCTCCGGATTCTACATGACCCCCGAATTTCATGTCGACACATCAAGCATGGTTCGGGGTGAGAAAACAAGAAGAGGCGGCATTGGCGAGCCAGATGTGTCTTGGGCCGCGAGAAGCGAAAACGAAAAGGCAGCGGCAGAGGGCAGCAATGTACTTTGATGCCAATGGCTCGGAGATCTTGCGGTTGCATCTGCAGAAACGCGGCAGGCTTGATTTGATGCTCGTCCAAGGCACGTACGGCATGTGGAGAGACGCCTTGTTGCTCCAGATGTAGCAGCAACTGCAAGGGGCAAGGGGAGGCGACATGGACATGAGCGAGCGTTCAGAGGAGAAAGAATGGTTTTCAAGTTGAACACGTCCGTGTGCTGAATTCACACCTTGTCCAAGGGCCACAGCGTGGCATCTTGACTCTCGATGCCTTCATCGTAGGCCTGCTTGACGACGGCTTGAAAGGCCTCCTGATCGGCGGCGGAGGTGAGGCCCAGCTCGGCAAGAGCATGACTTTTGAGCGCAAGGAGAGCGCGGCCATTGATGCGATGTGCGCGGAAGGTAGCGGCCTGCTCGCCAAACCCCGTGTCCATCATGAAGCGATAGACGTGGTCTGGCGTCCACGCCTCGACCTGTGGCGGCAAGATGTCAAAGTCTTCTTCATCGTCATCGCGATAAGATGTCTCGAGGTCCATGGCGTCCACGAGGTCAAGCAGGCGTTGCGCGGGTTCAGCAAAGGGGTCAATGTCCAAGGCACCCAGCTTTTCCTCGTTAAGCTCGAGCAGGAGCGGGCCCGTAACGCCACCGTGAGCGAGTTTGAAGGCAATGCCCTCGGGCAGGCCCTCGTACAAAGCCCAGTTGCGGACTTCGTACTGGTCCCAGTCGCGCAGGGGACCCAGTGGCGGATCATGCCCCTATCGACACAATGTGCAAAAGGGCGACGCGTGAACCAAAACGGATCCAAAGTACCTCGGATGGTGTTGCTGAACGCTGTACCTACGCGTTCTTTGGGATAGAGCTGTACGGTCGAGTCTGCAGCGGACAATGGCGGCGGGCGCTTGGGCAACGCAGCGAGCTCCTTGTGAAATGTGCGCTGCTCGCGATGGGAAAGCCCGAGTTCTGCAAGACGGTCTTGATCACCTTCCAGCTGTAGGAGAGCCTCGCCATCAATGGCCGCGTCCTGCCCAGAGTCGTGATTGAGCATTCATCGCGGGTGAGCATGTGGGCCAAAGGAGCAAACTTGAACCATACCTCAAAGGCTTTGGCGCGGTGACTCATGCCAATATTGTGCAGCCACTGCTGAACGTCGCTCTCCAGCCAAGCTTCGACGTTGAGTTCAAGCATCCAGTCGGCAGTGTTGCTGGGCTTCCAGTACTCTTCGTGCTGACTGTTCTTGAGGGGTGAGTTGGTACTAAAGGCAGAGCTCATGGCCGTTTGCCGGGGCTGTGCGGGCGGGCAAGCAAGCAAAATTAGGGCGTGGGCTATGGCAAAGACAAGGCAGACGCGCAAGGACCAAGTGTGCTGGCTGTGGCCGCCTCCCAATGGGGTGGGCAAAGATGATTGTGGAGCAGGCAGGACTTTGCCTCGTACCGTTGCGGGGTCGCTCAGAGGTTGGAGGGCGGTGACGGCACTGATGGCAACAATGGCGGGATCCGCGGCATCTGAGATTTGTGGTTCGGCCGTGCGAGCCTCGGGGCGCGTGCTGCGGTGTACCATGGCGCCGACACCATGGAGGTTAAGCACGCGGCGAAGGGGAGTTTTGAGCATGACATCGGCCACGGCGTTGCGGATGACTTTGTCAAAGATGACATCAAACTCGCAAATGGGGACATTGTTGCCGCCGTTGCCATCCGAGGACTTGCTGTCTGAAGGTGAGGGGGCCTTGGCGTACTCCATTGTCGTTCGTCGGACCTTTTCCGTGACACGGAGGCCGGATCCTCGTTTGATGAAAGGAGGCTGGTCGGCGTGGTTGGAGGAGTGGGGTTGGAAGAATTCGAGGCTCTCACGTGCGGAAGGCGTCCGCGTTGGTTGGGACTTGAGCGAGCCGCGACGCTGCAAAGACACATCTTGCCCCTATTGTGGTCATGGTCACAAAAAAAGTTTGGGGGCCGGTTTCAGCAACGGGATGCGCGAATGGTGATGATGTGGCAGCTGCCGTGGGTATGATTTGGATCGAACGCACCTCAAAAGCTGTCTTGTCCAAGACAACCTGGAGTGTGGAAACGACGCGGTTGTTGGGATTGCAGTAGAAGGAGATGAGTTCGGAAAGAACTGGGAAGCTGGTTTTGGAGCGCTTGAGGCGAATGCCTGAGCGACCAAGGACAATTTGTTCATTCTTCACTTGACCCTCGGCATTGCTGCGAGGGCGGTACGCCAGGGCAAACGAGTCAGCACAAGGGTTGGGGTGAGATGGATTTGACGAAACTGGGTGCCTTCTGCAGCAGCAGCAGCAGCAGCAGTACCAGGCCACAACTCAGCGGGGGGCGTACGCATAGCAGAGGACGAGGTGATCTCCAGTGTTGCTACGGCGAACCAAAAAGGCGCCTTCACGCAAGTCCACGCTTGTGAGGGCTTGAACGGCAGCGCGGTGATCGAGCTTGCCGGCCGCAAACCAGGGAGAGTTGCGGCTAGCATCGTCAATTGCCATGGATACGTCTGGAACGGCACCCTTGGCAGTCTTGGCTCCGTCGCCGCCCTCACCGCTGCCTGGGGTGTGAACAGCGGGCGCGGTCTTGTCCATCTCAGCTGAGACCTATGGAGACAGGTGAGCCATGTCAGAACGGGGGCACAATTTAGCTTCGGTGGGGCGCATTGAGGGCCCATGCTTGAGGCACAGTCGCACTCACGGGCTGCCGACCGAGCATGGCGACGGTGTGGGCTGCTCCAGCCGAGAGCAATGATGGCTTCGAGTCTTGGAGCCAGAGTCAAGCCACCACTTTGAGGGTTGAAGGGGGAGGAAAGAGGTGACAAAGCCACAAGATCAGGGAAATGATGGCAGCTGGAAGAAGAGCGGGTGCTGCGCCAAGTCAAGGGGCTAGATCACAGGACGTCAGATCGGATACGAGGGCAGTGCTTGGCGCGACGGCAGCACCAGTGGAACCCTCTTGGGCACAAGCAGTGGCAGCGGGAGGGCTGCGTGGCCAATGCTGCACTTGGGCGCAAGACGACTGAGGGGGAGAGCGCAAAGGGTGAGCGGCGGGTAGCTGTGAGGCGAGTACGCCGAGGCCAGCTTGGAGCAGGTCACGCACGATCAAGAGGGAGAGGGGAAACCAACAACGGCTGGCCTCGAGCTCGTGCTCTGGGGTGCCAAAGCATAAAGTGGGGCGGCAGTGGGGGCTGGGACGATGGCAGCGGAACGCCCGGGCAGGACAGCGAGAGGGCAACGTGCTGTGACGCTTGCTCCCTGAGTTGGCTGGTGGCATGTAGTGGAAGGCGTTTGGGTCGGCAGATGGCAAATGACACCGAGTTGAGGGACAACGCGGCACGTTACCCCGCAACCGTCGCCGTTGATGCCCTTGCACGGACGTACGCGAGCCCTGGCCAGCGAGGATGCGTCTTTGGTCAAGAGCCGAGCTCGCTGACCGAGCTCGTGCAGGTATGCGCTGTAGGCAGTCGAAGGGTTGTCAGGCTCTCCAGATG